CGGGTCTGCGCTGCCTCCGGGCTCGGCAAGGGAGGGAGGGAGAGGGAGGGAGGGAGGGAGGGAAGAGACAGGCAGGGAGCTCAGGTTACCGCTGCCGCATCGCTGCCTTCTCTCGCTTCTCGCTCCGGAGACACAGCCGATGATGCACCGCCTCGCTCGGGATGGCTGGGCTGCAGGGGGATCAGGGAGACTTCACAAACTGTAGCCGTCACCCCGCCGGTGGGAAGGGCAGCCCTCCCGCTCGCTGCAGCTCCCGCGCAACATGGCCAGAGCCGCCGGAGGATGCACTGCAGGCGTCTGAGGTGAGGAGGTGCCCGTTTCTTTCCGTAACTCCAACTGCAGGTATGACCGCGGGCAGGGGAGTCCGTTTGCCCATGGATGTGCCCCTGGACCTGCGTCACTGACTTTCCGAAACTCGCTGACTGCCGCGGCTGTGTTAGGAGGGTAAGACAAGAGGGGGCAGCAGGTGTGACCCAGCTTCGAAGACCAGGATCAAAGTCCAGACGTCCCTATCCATGTGTCCTGGTTTCAGCTGGGATAGAGTTAATTTTCTTCCTAGGAGCTGGCATAGTGCTGTATTTCGGATTTAGGATGAGGATAATGTTGGTAACACACTGATGTTTTAGTTGTTGCTAAGCAGTGTTTACATTAAGTCAAGGACTCTTCAGCTTCTCATCCTGCCCTGCCAGTGAGCAGGCTGGGGTGCACGAGAAGCTGGGAGGGGACACAGCCAGGACAGCTGACCCCAACTGGCCAAAGGGATATTCCATACCATAGGACATCATGCTAAGCATATAAAGCTGGGGAAGAAGAAGGAAGGCGGGGGGAGAATGTTCAGAGTGATGGCGTTTGTCTTCTCGTGACTGTTGCGCATGATGGAGCTCTGCTTCCCAGGAGATGGCTGAGCACCTGCCTGCCCATGGGAAGTGGTGAATGAATTCCTTGTTTAGCTTTGCTTGTGTGTGTGGCCTTTGCTTTACTTATTAAACTGTATTTATCTCAACACATGAGTTTTCTCACTTTTACTCTTCTGATTGTCTCTCCCATCCCACTGTGAGAGGAGTGAGCGAGTGGCTGTTTGCTGGCTAAGATTAAACCATTACACCAGGGAAATCACTCGCCCAAAACAAGCAGCGTGTGGCTCCATGGCATGTGGAATTTGGCTGAGGGCTCTGGACTGCAATGCCCATCTTCTAGTAAAACAGGTGGTGAGGTACATTGCGCTAAATGGCATAAGGAGTAGACTGATTTAATGATAAGAATGTACTAATAAGTGATCTTGTTTGTCAGAGGATTTAGTATGTGTTTTAACATGGGGAAACATTTTGGAAGCCTGTGAACCTGTCCCCCAATAAAGACCAGGATCAGTTAGGACAAATACAGGGCAATGTTTTCTTCACTGGCCTGAGTGTTTGCTGAGACCTTGGATAAAATGCTTAAAAAGAAAAAGATCCATGAAGTACAGCTAAGTCATTAAAAAAGCAGCCGTTGGGCCTGATCCTGCAAGCATTACTGTGTATAATCAGCACTTTTAAAGCCAAGTAGTTATTTACAAAGCATTTGCCAGCATAAGCACCCCACAGTGGGACTTCCTCTGTTCCTCTGCTTTCTGCCTTGGCCCTGCTAATCAAAAGAGGAGCTGGACATTGTCCCTCAAGTTTAGCATTTGGCACAGGACTGGGGCAGTGAAGGGAGCCCGAGCGGCTGTCCCTGGGCTGTCTCTGCTCTGGGTGGAACCTGTATGATACCCAGGAACATTACCCTCCAAAAGTACCAGGTTGCTTCTTTAATAGACATGTGAATGCAAAGACTTAGTTCAACTGTTGTATTGATAGGGGAAGAATAAAGCTCTGAACACTAAAAACCAACTGTGCCAAGAGGCAGCATGAAATGAAAGGGCACAAAACAGCACGAGCACCAGGCTCACCTACTCTGTGCAAGTGCTGCCGCAGATTAAAGTCGGGGAAAAAAACATCTGAAAGGTAGCATCCTGACCAGCCCTCATCCTACAGTGATATTGGCAGGGCTGAGCAGCACTGTCTTTATGAAAAATTTGAGTGACATTGGAATGTCTTTATTGGTAATTTTTCCGGCTTTGAACATTTTTTGTACAATCTGCACAGCTATCTCTTCTCTGCAGTGCTCTTTTACTTCTTACTTCATGTATCTTGAGATTGCTGTCTGAAATACCATTTTCAGGTTTATTTTTCTTTTTCATTAAGATGAAAAATGCAATGTGTAGCACTACTTGTAAATGAAGGTGCAATAAATAATTTGTTTTCGGTGACACAGACACATACATAACATTTTTGAAGAATGGTGCTTCTATGGGTTGTAGAACGAGACTTTTGGAGTCCTAGTATTGACAGCAAGAGCATAAAGAAGAATTTTCCTCATTGCTTTATTTGCTTACGAAGATAAGAGGGTGGATGTGAGCTGGATTTTGTTTCTATTCAGCACAGTGAACCACAGAGTTTTATACAGAGTGAGAAGGCTGCTCTGATTCATTCCATCATGGACAATTGCTAATATTTGGTGAGATCTGGAGTTTGGAATATAGCAAGTGAAATAGTAATTGTAGTAAAATTGCTGATTCATGAGGCAATTCTTAAAAAAAAGTTTAAATATGGTCATTAGCATCAGTAATAAATGGAAGATGGGAGCACTGTAGGAATAGAGGGAGCATTAGAAGAAACAAGTTGATTAGAATTGAAGAGAAACCCAGAAAGCGATGTTTGGTTCACAGCAGGTGAAGGGAAGACAGAAACAGAAAGAGAAGACTTTTAGGATGAGTGTTTGGAAAAAAATACTACTAAGATGAGAAAAGGTCCTTCTGGGAGAACAAGGAGGGAGCGCCCCAGAGGCGCTGCTGTTTTTTCTGCCTGTGAGTGAGGATGCCTCTTTGCTTCTTGCCTTCCAGCTGTGTTTGGATTGCCTGTGGAAGTGGATTAAGTTAAAACTGTCCAAATATGCTCCTAAAAAGGACAAAAAGCACCTGTACGGGGGGCTGGACTGTAATGGCTGGCCTGTACAGTTTCTCTTTGTCAGTAGCATGAACTTTGCAACAGGGTGCCCAACAGCCTCCACTGCAACATTTTTCTCCTTCCTGGCAAAGGGATCTGGCCTTAACAAATATCCAAGCCGACATTTTGGTGGGCTTTTTAGGGCAAGGATTCATCAAGAGAATTTTACAGGCAGCTTGGAAAAACAAAATGATATTTTAAAATAGAAGTAAGCTTTCTTGACTTGGCTAAAGTCCCTGGAAATACATTTCTCTTTGACTCTTCAGATGCAGCACTTCTTTCTTGTGACATTATGGGAGCAGCTCCACCTCCTGCCAGACTTTTTGCTGGTTTTGAGAGCAAAACTGCATTGTGGTCTGAGGGTGCTGTTTGGTTTTTCCAAATGAATGTCATGAACAAGTGGTCGTGGCTGGGTAGATGAGATCAAGGTGCGTCAAGAACTAATATCTCTTGATGATTTTTTTAATAAAGTGAAAGATGCAGCCTCTTATTCAGAAGATCACTGTGTCACAAATGCCTTCTCACCTTGATCTTTATTCTCCTTTAGACATCGACTACCTGGGTAGTCTCAGAGGCAGAATCTGGAGACCACATGGACCTCTGGTCTGGGGGCCATTGCAACTATTATAGTAGTCGAAATCTCCACACCCGAAGTGACACTTCTGTATCTGAAGTGGAAAGATTCTGTTTTTGTGGATGGGACCTAGAAATGTTGGTTCCTTCCCTTGTAATAATAAAGATGCACTTTTTAAATGAGTGAATGTTGCATGCAAACCTCCTATGCCTGTGCATTGCCTCTGAGAAAGCTGCCGTGTTCACCGTATGTTTATATGCATATGCTGGTACTGTGTTTAACCACCAGTACATTACCCTGCATAATACAGAAAACAGAATTCGGAGGAGGAAATGGTGGACATTTTTCTTTGAAGAGATAAGGTTAAGGAGTTACAGTGTGTCAGCTGGTTCTTCTGAAACTCTGTCATAGCTGGATGGGAGGAGATCTGATCCATGGGGGTGAAACTTCCAGGGACTCTTACTCAGTTACTGAATTTTAACCAATTTATATTTTAAAGTCTCTTTTGTTTTTTTGTCATGGTTTTTCTTTGATTGCTGGGAAAAAAGTTTCTTTGCTGATTATAACTAGACCAGTGTTTAGGCTGTGTTAGTCATGATGCTAAAAACAATAGAGTTGTGTGCATATATCTGTATACATATGTATATGTGCATGGCATTTCATTAGGATTAATATTAGTCTAGAATTTAACATATCATCCTAATATGCTTTGTTTCCCTAGAAAAAAATTAAATTCACAACTTGACTTGTTTCTACTCTTCATCCTTTGTTTTTTTTTCTTGTAACTATTTTTTTATTTTCTTTTTTTTTTTTCTTTTCTTACTAAAATCCAAAGTGGTGAATAAAACCAGCCCAACCTCCTGCAAGAAGATTTAATCTGCTGTTAAAGTTTCGTGGTCAATCAGCTAAATGGGTATTAGTAACATAATGGACAGAGCATAAGCCAGGCAACATAGAGCATTTGCAAATCAGTAACAAAATAATGCTCCTTTTCTATCTGTTGTCTAATTGATTGCTTAGGGTTTGGAGATGGGGATTCCTGCCCCGGTTCTGTGGCTGTGCGAATGGCTCACCCGCTCCCCAGAGTCAGCTCCCGGCTGTAAAACATTGTGGCCTTTCTGGAGAACCAGAGGCTTATTTTAAGCATCAAAAGCACCCATCCCTCAGACCCCCTCTCCCCATGCACACCACACCATGGCACGCTGGGGTAGGGCGGAGATACCTGGAGAGGAACTGGGAAAGCTCACCCCCCCAACCCCAGCAGCACTGCAAAGAAAAAACCCCAAAACCAAAAAAAAACCCCAAACCAACCCCAAAACCAACCAACCAACCAAAAAAACCCAAAGAGACAAAAAATGACAAAAATAAAGAGAAAAAAAGAAAGAAAAAACCGAGAGTATTTGGCTGTAAATAAAGTGCCTAGCAACTCAGCGTTTAAATGATAGAAACTGGCATGTGTGAAGCAGAGGAACAATGTCTTGCTTTGACTCGCTGATGGACTGAAAAGGAGAGACAATCCTTATAGCAGAGGCAGGTGAGAGGTAGCAGAGAGAAAAAGGGTTTCCGTGGTCTGGCAGTGAGGGTGGCAGAAAAAGTTTGTCCTTTGTCCTGTACCCTTTTCAGGTTTCCATCCTGCCTGCCTGCCAGTCTTGACGTTTGGTTTGGGTGAGGACATTTTTAATACATGTTACTATAAAAACCTCCCTCTGAAAAGTGACATTTTAAGGTGCCAGGAAGGAGACATTTAGCCTCATCACCTCGGTGGCTGTTTGCGTGCAGTTCTTTCAGCTGGAAACGGCACCACCGGCTCGGGAGGCTCTGCAGGATGCTGCCACTGAGCGCACAGGGCAGGAGGAGACAGCCAGCGCTCCCAGGGGATGAGGCAGGGTAGTCTCTCCCCATGTAACCCTTTATTTCGAGTAGAGGTTCACCACCACCATCATAGTCCTGCATGGGACCTGAGCAGGCGCTGCTGTTCCTGACAAGGTCTGGTAGGCACCGGGCAGCATCCTGCTCCGGGAGTTGGGGACAGTTGAAAACTGCTGGGCCAGAGGCACCTGGTCATCCTTCCCTGACTTCTGAGCTCGGGCTAAGGGGGAAACCCAGCTACCCACGTGTCTCCCTGTAAAAACAGTGGCCTGGCCGCTGCTGAACCCACTGCCTTGCCAGAGACATCATCTCTGAGAGCTCCAAGCTGGCCTCTGCTCCTCTGAAATGCTTGCATTTAGGAAAAAAAAAAATGTTTCCTGCTGTACTTGGCATTTTCTTATTATCTATGTGTGTTTAATCCCTCTTCATGTCCTGCTGAGCTTCTGAAAAAACAGTTTAGAGGCTTTATTCTGAGGAAAATCAAAAGTTAACGGGTATTATTAGTACTTATACCAGGGCACATGTTACTTTTGATTATTAGGAAAGGAAAATGGGAATATTGCTGACGACTTTGCCTGTGCAGTATTTGAGGTTGTAACTCCTGTTTACACACTTAAATCATGTCTCTGCTTTTGTGTCTGCCTTGTCACAGATGCTTGTGTCTCTGTTTACAAAGTGGGGATTCGTGCAAATGGTCAAAAGCATTTTGCTTGTTTGCAGTTTGGGTCATTCCCTGGCTGATGTGTGTGGCCTCAGAGCAAAGACAATGCCGATCATCCACTGAACTCTCAGTGGCATGACTGTAGCTTTGCCCCAGAAAAATTAAGAAAACTTTATTTCTTTAAATTGATATTTTGAATCTGTTTCTCAGGAGGACTCTAGACCTACTTACCTCTCTCTGCCTTGGGCCAGATTGCTTTTCCTGATCTATATGGCATATAGTCTTGATCTCTTGGTGCCGTTTAGATAATTGTACTCATTAACAGACCTAAAGGAGGTGTCAGTTTAATTTTGATGGAATAACTAGGCTTCATCACAGGAGTTATCATGGCCCTGTCACTGTGCAACACAAAGGAGTTACACAAGGGTCAGTGATGTGAACAAAGAGACCTTAGAACCATGGCAGAACACAGGAGGAAGTTTATGTAGCTGGTGGAAATAGGTACTTGCAAAGTGGAGGGCTGCAGTTTGACTGATTTGGATCACAGACCTTAACTATCTTCTGCTTTTCTTCATGTGTTCATTTCAGGCATGTGCGAGAGGAGTGCTGGACTGCAGGCTCCTGTAGCCCGTGCTTCTTGGGTCTCAGGCTTTTGTACAAACCTCCTTTGGATCTGTGCAGAGCCATGGAACACTGCACCGGTCAGTTTAAACCAACAGCTCTCTAAGACACGAAGCAGGTAAGTTTTGAGCATTGCCCTACATAAAATATTTTGCAGTTGGAACAATAGGAGCTGGAAAAGGCTTTGAGATAATTACAAACTGCAATTTCTGACTCAGATCAGAGAGAACAAATCAATTATAATGTCATGCAAAAGGATTTTCTATAAAACCAGAAAGATTTGTTTTGATGCAAAAATACTGGATGCTGTTCAAAATGACCTCCAGAAAATGGTTCCTTGTAAGTCTCCATTGCTTTCTGGACCACCTCCTGTAGATTTATTGTCCCCTTCTTTTTAACATCTCCAGGACTGTTCCATGGAGATATGTGACGCAGGCTGGAAATCGTGAATCACAGACTGTATTTTTTTTGTCAGATGCAGGCAAAGGAGGAAAGATGTAGTGACAGATAATTTAGAAACCACAGGTCTTGTCACACCTAACCGATGCTTGTATCTCTGCTGTAGAGCAAGATACGTTAGGTTGGATGGTGACAGTTTTTTTAAATGCAGTCACAGCCATGTTGTCCTGTTGAAACATAACAGAAGCAGTGGTGCTCCATACGTTTGCCGTATACAGCAGTTCTCCCAGGCAGTGGGCGAGACAGAGCATTTGCTTCACCCACAAATCCAAACCTGCTCTTTGCAAGTGGCATGAGGGATGGGATGGGGCTCAGGATCCCAGGGGTAAGGAGCCAATACCAGGGAGATTTAATTCCCTGATACAGCAACTTAAGCGGTCCAAGGAACCGACCTGCCTGTGTTAATATAAAACATTTTTAACTTTAAAAATTTTCCCTATTCACCTGAAAACAAGAATGAAAATTATAGTTTTAAAAGATAAATGGCCTCAGTGAGAGGAAGCTGGTTGTCTCTCTGCCACCCTTTCTTTCCCTTAGTGTTCTTTCAGTAAATGCCAACCTCGTAATGTGTTGCCAAGCTTGGGTCCTTGGGACACCAAGGCTGTACTTGAACAAATGAAACTTTTCCAACAGCCCCCTCCCCGTTGTACCACAGGCTACTGCTGGCCTCAGGGGCATCTGGGGCAACTTTTCTTCTTGGGCTCCAAGGGGGAAAATTAAAGGCAGGGCCATCAGGTGAGACACCTGTGTGCACTCCCATGTGTTTGTGAAGTTTACCTGCAGCGGGGAGTTTGGGAAACTGGTGCTATCCTGGGGAAAGACTATTGCAAGAGTGAAACAAGGAAGAAATGGGATTGCAACAGAAGACAGGGTACCGGCCTGTACAGATACGGAGGCTGAGACTCTTCCACTGCACCTGGTACGGAGGCTGAGACTCTTCCACTGCACCTGGTTCGGAGGCTTCCATGGCTCTGTAGGGCTGGGGGTCACAGTGAGGAGATGCAGCTGGGGCGAGTCCCCAGAGCAGGGTGCAGCATGTTATCTGGATGGCTCCCTCCTACACACGGCTGGGGAGGCAGAGAGAGCTGAGACACCAAACTGGGAACACCCAAGGTGCTACTGGTGTGATCCTGGTCCCTTCCAAGCCCTCTCCATAACCCCCTCTGCAAATACCGCTATGGGTAATTGCAAATTTTTAGTTTGAGAAAAGATATGATAGTTTGAGATAAGCTTGAACTTGCTTTTTTGGTGATTAATGACAAAGGCTAGTATTTTCCAGCTTTCACACAGTCAGAGCCAAATGAGACTTTGCTCCAGGAAGTGTTCCTTTCTTGTCAAGGCCACTGCCTATGCGTTGGCAGCAGGGAGGGACCTGCTATGAAACAGTACATGTACATATGTGTGATTTGCAAAATTTATAAAATCTGTTTTACAATTTACATAAATTTACAAATGTTTGCATTGCATGTGTGTGTGTGTTTATGTATCTGTATAAGGTATGCTGCTTTATACATGGACAGAAAAAGGAAGACAGTCTGTCTCTGGATAGGCAGCATGGTAAATACGTGCCAGAACTTACGTTGGGAGGCTCTCTCCCAAACATCCAGAACAGGGACTTTTAAAATTTTTTTGAGGGATTTGTTACCAGTGTCCAAACCCAGAAATAAGTAAGAAGTAAATATGGTCAAGTCACAATAGTCTAATTTGACTGAAATCTGGTAAAGTGAGTATATTACATTATGGTTTCTTGTTCTTGAGTATTTCTGAAAAGGTTTTAATGGGTTTCAATAGAAAATTGCTCTCAATTACTTTCTTTGTTCAGTATTTGAAGGACTTCTGTTTGTACATGTTCTGGAATTCCTGTGACAGAGAGATGTCAGACCCTCGAACAGTCTCGTGAGAGCTGGCGACAGGAGAAAACTTCTTCTGCAGCTCTGTTATCAACCTCAGAACGTCATCCTTTCCTGAAAACACTATTTTCAGGATATTCATGTGCTTCCTCCCAGGCCACTGAAGAACATGAGAACAGATGCAGAGCAGATTTTTGTATAATCTTTTGCATGTGTGTCTCTGTGTGTGTGTGTATATATATATATATGTATGCATATGTATATTCTGACACAATTTTACATTTATATTAAAGCAATTTTTATGTTAATCACAAGACTACTGCGAGCTATACATACAACAAAAAAAACAGATCTGAGGAATACTCTATTTAAAGATAAAGTTAATTTAAATATAAATGGCAGAAGAAATGTGAACTTTTGAAATATTTTCAAAATTCATTAGTGAATCATTGCAAAAATGCATTTCAATGTGGGAAGAATTTCAGTAAACCAGGACTCCAGTTCTACTTGTTTCATGCTCGTGAGAATACCATCTGAAATTAATGGGACTATTCTTATGGGTAAAATGAGCTGAATTTGCTCACAGGAACACCCAGCTGGACTTTTAAATGAACTTAAGCCTGCAACGCAAAACCTATTCATTGCCTGGAAAGGGGAATTTGGGCAAAAGGAGGGCACTAATGTGGTTTTGGGGAGTCTATGCAGAACATTCCTGGTCGGGAGGCAGAGATCAAATCCACAGCTCTGGTGACTGTAAATTTAGTTTGCTGTATTTTTAGATGGGAAGTCAGATGCAATTCTTTGTTAAGAAGGGAGGAAGCAGAAGGGAATGCCCTTCCCCCCGATAAAAATTTTCACATCCTAGTGCTCTAAACTAGTAGTTGGGCATGTGGGTTAATGGAATAAGTAACTGAAGCATTATACTCTTCTCACCAGGATAATTTATGGAGATGAATAATTTTTTTTTTTTTTTTGGTATGGGTCTACTTTGATAATTCTTCTCTCTCTCAAAATTTACATTAATTTTTAAACAGATATGCAGCACATTAATCTGTTACAAGGACGAATGAATTAACGTTGTTCTTGTTTGGATCTTTTTCACCTAAAAAGAAGATAGGAGTATGGACAACCCCCTTCTCACCTCAGCATGTCCTAGTGGGCCAGTTAAACTCAGCAAAAGGTGAAACATCCAAATAATCTGACCCAATGTTTTATTTTTCTGAGCAGCTGACCCAACATCAAATACATGATACATGGCTCCTCCAGCAAAAAGATTGGGAGCAATTTCTGGGTCAGTGCAAGAGGCCCACAAGATGCAAAGAAGATGAAGATGGGAGGAACCTGGCTGGGTCTGCCGGTTGGACACCACTTGCTGGCTCTGGGACACAAGCACTTTTCAAACAAATGGAGAAACATGGTATTTAAAAATACCTATTACTGTTATTCTCTCTCACCTGGCATGGGCACGTATCTGCTGCTTCTGCACTCTCTGGCTTGTTAAAGCCCTGGTGGGTCTAAGTCATGGTTTGTAAGACACTGAAAATGGGGAGGAGGCATCAGTCAGGGTAACTTGGTATCAGTGGACATGCCTGTGTGGATTTCTGAGGATATGCTGACTTGGGGAGCAAGTTCAAGTAAGCACGACTGTGAATTTGATTGCCAGCAGAACATTTTGTGGGAATGATACTAAGAGAAATATGTGTGGGTGAGTGCCCTGAAATAGGTAGCTTTCAATTAGAGATGACCTGGCTTTAAATCCCTATGCAGCGAGTTTGGTATGCAGCACTGAAAGGAACTAGATATTATTTTTTTTAATGTGCTGTTCCTTCTTGTTTCTTTCAGATGGATTTCAGAAAATTCAGGCTCTTTGTTTGCCTTGTAGGACTCAGCTGTGCTAGTTTCTGGTTATTTTACAGCAATTTGACTGAATTCTGTATCTTCTGTGAAAACAGCCATGATTATATATTCCCCATAGAGACTTTTAGGAGAATTGGAGGCAACTTCTCGCAGCTCCCGGATATAGACTGCCATAAGAACCCACCTTTCCTCATCCTGCTCGTGACATCCTCATACCACCATGTAGATGCCAGGATGGCCATCCGGCAAACCTGGGGGAAGGAGAGAACAGTTGCCGGCAAGCGCCTGGTGACATATTTCCTCCTGGGAAGCACTGTGAATCTTAGCCAGCAGGCTGATATCGCTGCTGAAAGCCAAAAGTACAAAGACATTATTCAAAAGAATTTTACTGACACTTATTACAATTTGACTTTGAAGACCATGATGGGAATGGAATGGATTCACAGATTTTGTTACCAGTCCAGCTTTGTGATGAAAACTGATACAGATGTGTTTGTCAATGTTTTTTACCTCACTGAGCTGCTTCTAAGGAAAAAGAGGACCACTAGATTCTTCACAGGCTTTTTAAAGCTGCACGAGTACCCCATACGGAGAAGAGGGAGTAAGTGGTACGTGAGTAGAGAAGAGTATCCGGGAAAGACCTACCCACCGTTTTGTTCTGGGACTGGCTATGTTTTATCCACCGATGTTGCTAGTCAGATCTATAACATTTCAGAGAGAGTTTCGTTCATTAAACTGGAGGATGTATTCATAGGACTGTGCCTTGCCAAATTAAAAATTCGTCTGGAGGAACTTCATTCAGAGCAGACGTTTTTTCCAGAAAGGATTAGGTTCTCTGTTTCTCGCTTCAAGAAAATTGTGATGTGCCACGAAGTAGAACCATCTGAGCAGCTGAGCTACTGGAATCGCTTAGTGACAGAAAATCACGGAGGAGTGCTCTAGCACCTTCCCTGCTTGAATTAACAAACTGAAATGCTTTACATTTACAGGGCTGCTCTTGACTCCAGCAAAACTCCAATTAACTCTAGATCCATCACACTGAAGAATTTTTTAATGGTTATTTTAATCTGTTTCTGTCCTAGAACAGGCAAACCTCTTTCTCTCCCACTCACTTCCACCTCTTTGCATTCCTTCTCTGCACAGGTTACAATTATTTTTCTGAAAGATGCAGGACTGCAAACCTGACCTCCAAATCTTGCTGCTGCAGGACTGGGAACATCTCTGCAGTGCCAAACTAAAAGTTAAAATACTTTTGTACAGAGAAGAAAATTTACACCTTCTTCCTGGTCCCCCTTGATAGATTACTGCTTTTGCACCCATCTGTGCAGGCATTTAAGAAAAGGCGTTTGTAGCTGTCAGGACGTTCCCCTCCTGGCAGAGGGAACTGCAGCCCTGCCCTTGAGTCAGCTCTGTGTGGGCAGACCTGTGTACTGGCACAGATCCCTCCTTCAGTCTACACACATTTTCTTACAGAGATGGAAGAATTTGCCCATGCAGCACTCCTGTGACAACCTTAGGTACTTCATGTCACCTGGTAAATGTGTAAGGCTACTGCATCTGTTTCCCTATATGCGCCTCCTGCTGAAAATGATATGTGGTAGAGCCGGATCCATGCTCAGTGGAGGGTGTCCTGGTCTTTCTATTACATAGACCCCGGAGACGTCTTTTGCGTTTGTGTCTCACTTTGATAGCTTGAAAGCTACTGTAAATGGCTTGCCAAAGCTAAACTAGAGTCACTTACAGTGAGCTAAACAGTACATCTGATTTAGACATCTTTCCCTGTGAGGAACTGAGTGTGTAAGGGAGAAGTCAGGAGGATTTTTCTCTTTTAACCAAGACCTAGTGGGAAAATGTGCCCAAGTAATCATACAGGCTGTGAGCCTCATTTCTTATTTCATTACCAAGCAAAGACTCATGAAATCACTAGGATGTTTATAGATTTCAGAGATAAGGAATTGAGTCTTTACAGTAGATGCTATGAAAAATACATTTGGGCTATGGAGGGGGAGAAAGGTGTTCATAAAATCATGCCTTATGCATTACTCCTATTTGATTTACTTTCATGCAAAGAAAAGATCTGTTTTACCAGAAAAGAAGTATTGAATACCTACACTATGTGTGAAGTGTTTTTTTCAGAGAGTAGTAAAAGTGGGGCTGCTCCCACGGGAAGATGAGCCAGGAGCTGAGGGGATTCAACAGCCGGTGGGGCTCAGCCCCACACACCCACATGAGGGAGCAGGACAAACCCACCGATGGTGGCCAGGTCCAACCAAGTATCCTGATCATAAGTCAGTATCATGGTGATGAGGTAGGTCTGAGGTCAAGCCAGCGATGGCTGGGCCCTGGTGATGACAGATGGGGGTCAGGATCAGACCCAGTGAGGGGAACCAGGGCACAAGGAACCATTGCCCCAGGATGGCAGGGCAAGGCCCTGGGGATGGGGATGTATACTGAATGTGGTAAAACACATGATGGAAAGACAGGCAAAAATATTTTATTGCTTTGGGGTTATTTATTTTTAGTTTTTTTTAATTGAAGTTTATGAGGACTGTCCAAGTGACTCTTTCTACTTGCCTGTGTCTGAAGGACAGGATATTTTTGGCAGGAATATCCCTCATCCTGAAAAGTGTTTAATAATGGTAATAATATATTATTTATTTTCTTCTCATCTAGAGTAACCTGAGCTCATGCACTTATTTTTGACAACCGATGATGAAAGAAATAGTGTTTATTTGTTTGGTAGAAGAAAAATCTTTAAGTTTCCCACTCAGAAAATGGCTATGTAGATGGTGTTTTCAGGGATATGGCTATCCAGGTGGTTGGGTGGGTGGCCAAGGAGGTGTTTGCCTTTCCCTAGCGTGTACCCTATGCCAGGGGGTGGGCAGCCCAGCTACGGGTTGAACAGCATCTCTCCCCCTCCCATCCCAACTTTACGGGTGTATCTGCCCTTGGACTCAAAGCCCTGCTGTAGCACACTTACTTTTGCAGTTGCCTTCACTAGGTGCGATGGGTCAGACTGCTAAAGCCTAGGAACAGCATTTTAATCTCTATTCTTTCCATGTAACCTGCAGAAATGTCTTTTTGCCATTCACTGCTATTGTACCCAAGGTGCAAGCTGGCCATTGCTTTAATTTATGGAAAAATGCTGCACATAAAGGAATGCTTCCTGGCCTCTCTCCTAGCTCCCTCTCTTGTGGGCTAGAGGGTCTGTGAATTTGGACAGCATAATGCAGCCTAATGTTCATCCCGGCCTCTTCTTGTTCTTAGATAAATAACTCTGCAGTCCTTTGTGGGTCTCACTTCCACCTCTGTGCCTGGTGCCAACTTTATCCCAGCTGGCAGGACCAGTCCAACCGCGCAGTCCCAGGGAGCCTGTATCTTGGCAGAATAGCTATTAATTTACATATGGATGTGTTGACTTGTTCATCTCCACTAGGTGTTGACATCCAAGAAGTTTGGTGGCACCTGGCTCCTGGGACGGTGCAGCTGCTCTTCTTCTGTCAGGCTGAGTTCATGGCCAAAGGGAAAGTCTTCCATTAAGGAGACAGTATTTTGGGTTGTTTCCCTGAATGACTGCTGCTTGTGAGTGGCATTAAAATACGTCTTACCTGAGCAGTTTGTGGCTTTGTATCATCATAAAAAAAGCTACCCTTGAAGGCCAACTTCTGCTAGACTTCTTGACTGTGGCTTTTATTTTAGTTCAGGACTGTTCCTAATTACTTGAATATAGTTACTAACTGAGAAGATGGTGCTATTCTCTGTTAATCACATTTGCAGATGCTACCACTATATTTTGGGGGGCTAAATTCATAGCTACCATGCCATTAGAAATGAGGTTCTCAGGCATGTTTTAAGAAATCATCCCATTCTGGATACCCTTTCCAGGGAGTCTATTTGTAATTTCAGGTGACCCGTGCAAGATTTTATTTTATTACTGCATTCAAAATATTTTGTCCCCATGTTGTTAAGCATCTAATGGCCTGCCTATCTATCTGAAGCATTTGGGTTATCACTGCTAAATCTCTGATGAGGTGTAAATGAGTACAGGTTGAAATGTTATGGATTAGATAGCCTGTTCCTTTCCTTTTTGCAAATTATCTTCCCAAGTGTATGCTTTATGTTACTGCACATTACTTTTCTCAACATATGATTTTCTTTGTGCTCACATAAATTTGAAATTAATTTCATAATTCTCTCCATTCAGTAGGCTGCTTTGAATAAGAATACAGTAAATGAATAATTAATTACTTAAAATACAAGGTTATCCTGCTGGAAAATGTGATTTAAGAAGAGTAAATGATTGCATGTAAGTCAAATTCATTTATTTAAACAAAGCCACCGTGCTAGTCAGTTTATATGTATCAGCTAAATGAAATTGGTTTTTGCAGCTTAGGCCTTGGATCATGACTTTTAACACAATCAAAACAGTATTAGTTGCCAAATTATGTGTATTTTCCTATGAAAGACATCACAAAAAGATTGGAAATATAACTAGAACTGTAATCATAATACTGCAGTGTACATATACTTATTTTTAAAATTTTGTATAGGCTAATAAAAGAATTTAGGCAATTTTGGGGCAGTTTATCTGTAGAAGTAGTGCATTATCCTAACATTTTTATGCTTTCGAGGTCAAATGATCATTAAATCAGATTTTTATGAATAGCTTTGAAAAGTTACTCTAAAAAGTGAATCCAGTGTTTTTTATATATTAGGAAGGAGTTTAAAAATCAGCAAAGCTGATTGTATCTTAGAGTTGATTACAGTTATGTATTTCAGCATACTCCATTTCTTCCAACACAAGATCAGTTCTTGACTGTAGAAAAATGAATACATTTTTCACAACTCTTAACTCATCAACTAACATTCTGAGTTTAGGTCCGCGAAGGATTTGGACACACATCTCATCTGAATCAGTATTACTGAGGAGGTATAACCCTTCTAGGCACCTTTGAGAATACAGGATAGATTTTTGTAATGAAACATTTGCCTTACGTAAAAGCTGAATGGAACACAAGGGCTAACTGTCTGTAATGGATCTGTCAGGAATGCTGCTTTTCTTGGATTTGTGCGGGTTACTATATAATGTTAATATAAAATGCGTGACAATGTTTGCATTATTTGCATAGAACATGAGAACGTTGAGCTAACTATTCAATGTATGATATTTTAGTAAAGTATTTTGTTACCACAGTTTTGTGTATTCTCTTATCTTTACAGTTGCGAATGTATTAACATTTTGGGATGTAGTCAAGTGAGGAGGCTTGCTCTTTTACCAGTTAAAAAGAATAGAATCACAGAATCATTTAGGTTGGAAAAGACCTTTAAGATCATCGAGTCCAACCGTAAACCTGACACTGCCAAGTCCACCACTAAACTATGTCCCTGAGTGCCACATCCACACGTCTTTTAAATGCCTCCAGGGATGGTAACTCAACCACTTCCCTGGACAGCCTGTTCCAGTGCTTGATAACCCTTTGAGTGAAGAAATTTTACCCAATATCCAACCTAAACCTCCCCTGGAGCAACTTGAGGCTGTTTCCTCTTGTCCCATCACTTGTTACTTGAGAGAAGAGAGGGACACTCACCTCACTACAACCTCTTTTCAGGTAGTTGTAGAGAGCGATAAAGTCTCCCCTGAGCCTCCTTTTCGCCAGGTTAAATAACCCCAGTTCCCTCAGCCACTCCTCATTAGACTTGTGCTCTAGACCCTTCACCAGCTTCGTTGTCCTTCTTTGGACAAGCTCAGCATCTCAATGTCTTCCAATACTGAACACATTATTTAAGTTGCAGCCTCACCAGTGCCAAGTACAGGGGGACGATCACTCCCCTAGTCCTGCTGGTCACACTACTCCCGATACAAGCCAGGATGCTATTGGCCTTCTTGGCCACCTGGGCACACTGTCGGCTCATATTCAGCCGGCTGTCGACCAACACCCCCAGGTCCTTTTCCACCAGGCAGCTTTCCAACCACTCTTCCCCAAGCCTGTAGTGTTGCATGAGGTTGTTGTGACTCAAGTGCAGGACCTGGCACTCAGCCTTGTGGAATCTGAATCTGTTGAATTTGCTCCCCTTCTCTAAAATGCCTTAGCATGTACATTGTAAAATGACTGTTTGGTTCCTCTTCCTAAGGTGAACACATAATTCCCATAAAAGAGAAAGAGATCAAGAATGGGAGTGGTTTCCCAAGCATTAAGCATGCAGTCCTGCCACATTAGCCACTCCTGCCATTTACAGTCTACACATGGTACACCTTTAAGTCAAAGGCACCTTAAAACAAAACCTTATAAACAGGGTGCGATCTGATTCAGAACATTTTTGTTCCGCATGACAAGAGTGTCAAGTTCAAGACTGTTAAAACCATAGCAGGGGAATTGATAAAAGACAATTTTAATCACAGTTGATACCTTTTGGAAGATCAAGATCCAATCTGAAATGGTTTTGCCTGTGTCACCATAGGCAGCACTGTTTGACTGTGGCTGACTGGCATTGCTCCTTGGGACCTGGAAGCACAGCACTGTTCCCCTATCACTTAAAAAGGAAATGTCAAATAATTAAAGGCCATCTGATTTTCTGCCAAGCACAAGTAGTTATGAACTAAAAAACATAACTAGAAAAGGTCTCCCTTACCACATTTATCTTCTGTTTTATCTTTTTTCCTTGCTTACCTTTCTGGTGGTTTTTTTCTTGTTTGCAGCTGGATTTAAATTCACTAGTTCATTCCACCAGTATATTTCCAGAAGTATCTTCAAATATTATCACAGCGGATAGTGGAAAACATCTGAGTCACAGGACTTAGATATATGCAGTACATAGGAGATCCAGTTTGAAAAAACAGACTTGAACTTGAACATGTTCTGGCTGAGCAAACAGAGATTCTTTTCAAAGCCTAGGAATACAGTGGTTTTAAGGCTATCCTTCTAAAAAGTTCACTCAAGTACATTTTCACTGAAAAATGTAATTAGACAATTTCAATAGTTGAGAAATAATCTTGTGGTTGCCTTGTGTTTCACAAATTAAAAAATATGGTGGGTTTTTTTTTTTGGGGGGGCACCAGTTCCCTAAGCTTTTAGGAAATTTTATTTTGTATACAAGTGTTGCAAAGGAAATGGACTAATACCAAAATAAAGTTTACTGCTCCTCTATAGGAGAAAGCCAAATCACAGCAGTGATCATGAACATTTCCATTACTCTGGCAAATAAAGAGAAATTAAATATCTGAAACCATCTCTGCCAGGAACTTATGTTCTCTTACTGCAAAAGGGCAGCTTTCAGTCAGACTTGGTATCACAGATAGAGTGCATAGGAGACATTTATTTCTAAGAAAAAACCCTTAACATTTCTACCTGGTGATCTTAACTGAATGCCCAAAGGAAGCTGTAAGATGTCAGTCATAAGGATGTATTTCATGAAAATGCAAAAAAAGATGCAGCTCTTCCCCTATAATGCCTACTTTTATGGTGATAATCTACTCTCTCATCATTGCAGTGTCAGTTTGGATCACGCCTGCAGGTCACTTAGGGGAATATTCATTAATATTCTATTTTCAGAGATGTAAGTATTAACATTTCTCATAACTGGCAACCTTGCAAAATCATCAGGAAAGAAAGAAAAGGGATATAATTTCATACTCCCATGGTAGTTTTCCTGGCACTATCAGGGAAGTCCTGTGGGATTTGGAGCCCTGGGCACAGTGCTTGTGTGTGCATATCATCAAGGCTTGTGGACTATTCATCTGACATGTCCAGAGCTGGACTTACCATGCACTGTCTGATAGGCGTTGAATGCACCAGTTTTAAAGGAGCTCTGGATAGACTTGCACTTTGCCTGAACTCCTTGAAGAATCTGGCTGCGCATACAAAGCTCAGGAGGGAGCCTAAAATCATGACCCTAAGCAATAGTGAATAATGTAGTAGTGATTATAGTGAGTGTAGAGAATGATGTTTACACTTTCTTGGCACACTATCATACATTGAAAAGTTCCTTAGAATAAACTGAATGATAACCACAGCAATTAAGCTAACTGTTTGGACCAGAGACAAAACATTTCTAAAGCTAAAGAAAATGTTGCCGGGGGACTGATATATTAGAGAACACTAAAAATTTCCTTCTTAGATGTACACTCTGCCTAACAGCACCAAAGCTGCATCTTCTCTCATTATGTGATAAACTTCCTTCCTTACTTATTGTTGTCTGGACTCCATGATGAATGTCTTCTACATTCTCTGAATTAAGACATTTTCATTTTACCAGCTACAACTCATCCCCAAGTTCAGTGCAGGAGAGGAGGAATGCACCTGCCAAAGGGGAAACATGGAATGTGGTTCAGAAGGAGTGCTGGCAGGGAAGTACTGGAGAACTGCACTCCAGTTTTGAAGATTTATTAACGCCAAATAAAAACTGCAAGGATATTAATGCAGATAAAGTGTTTAATCCTGTGTCCTCCTGTGCATGAAAGTCTAGAAGAAGATTATATCCAAAGATTTCCTCATTAAGGGCCCACAGCAATTCTTCACAGAGTTATGGCTTTATAACAACCAGCAAGAGAACACTGAAGAAAAAACTCTGAATTAAAAAAATCAGATGACCTATATTGGTGTCATGAGGTTTTTGAGGATTTACCCATGCCTTGATTCATGGTAGCATCACTTCATGAATCCTTAGGTCAAGACGAGATGACCTGCCTTCCTAGGAAGGAGATAAAACAGGACTCATCAGATCAACATGAAACATCTTCTGTTGGTGGGATTGGTCTCAGCTAAATTTGCAGCCTAAACCAGCACATTCAATCTAACCTAGTCTTTCAGACGACTATGTAGTCAAAATAATGAGGCAGGCCTAACCAAAGGGTGACACATCCTGCCTGCCTTAGACCCTCGTATCAGGATAGGTGAAGCATCATCTGGTAGTGCTTTTATATCTTTATAGATACAGAAAAAAAATTTGATAAATAGTTTAGGCTAGATGCCCATGTCTTAGATGACTATCAGTGGCTGAGGAGGGGGTCCTGAATGCTGTGTACGGTTTCTGGTATTCACAAGGATTGCAGCTCTTCTGGAAGTGCCCCACACCCCATTTTGTATCACGTCAGCTATTCAATGGGGATGCCACAGGATACAGTCAGTATCTTGCAGATAATTAATGTATCTGCCCACTAATTCTTTTTTGTTCACTCAGCAAAGCATTTTTTACAAACGGGTTTATTTTTAAATATGGAGACAACTACATTATTGTTTGTGCAACAGAGGGACATTTAGGGTAATCCTAATTTTTCACATAAATATATTTATAGTGGACAACAATGACTCCAGCTTGCACTGAGTCTCCACTGTGTTTAATGTTGAAAGCAGAAATGGGTCTCTGGAGTTCTCATATCCTACAAAGTGGAAACAAGATGGGGAAAAATGCATCTCAACAGTGACATAGGTAATAGAGAGGAAATGGCATGGCCCTGTTATTTCTAGAGCTTTTTCTCTAGTGCATTTGGGTCCTGATTAAGAAGAAATGTGAATCAAAGCTTAAAACTGTAATGAGTCTTCAAGATATTAACAGAGAGATGAAGTTTTTCAAAACTAAAGCATGTGAGAGAGGAAGAGGGATCTGTTTATCTCACTTGACTTCTATAGCTACCACTAATAAAATCTATTTTGAATGAAAAACCTCTTATAGAGCAACAAATATTTTGGCAAACAGTAGAGGAAAGGTGTAGGAGCATAGAGGGGGAAAAAAAGGGATGCAGATTTGGAAAAGTTATAGCTTAGCATCTCTCTGGCCTGACTGGCCAGTAGAAAGAATCATCCTGTAGGTATCAAGATAGAGACAGCTAATTCAGTCACTAGGTCAGCTTGTCTCCTACCTTAGACTTTTCTAGATGTTTTAGTTCTCCTGTTCTTCACTAGAGAAAAGAACATTTATTTTTTAACAGGGAGCCATTTCTCAAAGTCTTTGTAATGTTGAAACACCTTTTCAAGACAGTTTCCATGGGGAAATGAAGAATTCTTTTGTTTGTAGCACTGACCTCAAATCAGATTTAATGTTGTATTTGTAAGTGCCTCTTCTCTGCTATTTTAGTGCTTACATCCTCTGATCATATTTTCTTTGATTCAGCTGAATAAGCTAACATACAGCATGGAAGTATAAGGGACTGGTGATTTCTCCTGCTGGGTTACTGATCATTAGAAGTAATTTACAAATTAAGGTGTCTAAATGTTCTTCATTTTACAACATGATAATTTGTCCAGTTCTCCTGTAAGAAAAAAAATTACACTTACGGCCACAATGGCAATGACAGGACTTCACTAAGCGACTCTCAGAAAGTCCATTTCACTTTGCACAGCAAGCTGTACAGGCATATGTTCCAGACTAACACACCTCAAAACACAAAATGTTGAGGGTTGCTCCAGCAGTTTACACAGTCTACGCACCATACAGAATAAACTATATGGTGTGCAAAAAAGAGTTTGGAAGGTTTGAGGGGAAAAAAAAGGGCAAATATCCTCCTACTCACAGGCAGAAGAAAAATGGATAATTGGAAAGCAGTGTCTAGAGGAACTGGAGTGGGAGGTAGGAATCTGCCTGGTACGCAAGCTGATGATTCACGAAATGATTTTCCATTTGCATCAGACTGGCAAACTTAGGACCTGATCTTTTGAACACTCCTGATGATGGATAGTGCGCGATGTTCTCAGTGGTTGGGGATTCAGACACTTTACCATCCTGTGTAATGTCTTATCCCACACACATCCTAACCAGTGCCAATGGCTGTATTCATCACAGTATCATGGTTCATTAGGAAAGTCAGAGTACAGAAGGAACTAACAAGGTCAGTGAGATATAATTAATAAAATATTAACACACGTGTTGGTTGCCTAAGCAGCCCTAGGGAAAACAAAGGACATTTGAATACAGTCACTGTGCACCAGATTCACCCAGGAGGATTTCATCTGATGAAGCCCAGCCAGCAAGCATGTGGGTGGAGGTGACAGGTGCTCTCCTAATGACTCCCACTGGGGTCAGATCCAAAGCAGAACATAAACACAGTGGATGCTCTAGGCCACAACACGCCCAGTTCCCGCTGTGGACTTCAACCAGTCCTCTCTACATGAAGGGGATGGGAATGAACTGCTGTAGGGGCCAGCAGAGTGTTGCATGCGTCTTTATGTTGTACGTGTTTAAGGACATGGCTAATCTCCAGACCACGACAGACCTCAGCGTGGTAAAGAGACAGCTGATCAGCCTGTGATTAGCTGGTGGGGTAACGACAGCTGTAGCACAGGTGCAGCAACATGACATCCAAAGGGACCTTGATAAGCTTGAGTACTGGGCCAACAGAATCATCGTGAAATGCAGCATGAAGAAGCACAGAGCTCTGCACATCAGGTGCAACAGCCTAGAGGTACAGGCTGCAGAGGCACCGCCTAAGTGACAGTGGGTAAAAATCTTGATGAGGAGAAATATGACAAAACTAGGTCACATTTGGAGAAGTGCTGCCAGCAAACTCAGAGAAACTAGTATTCTCCTCTACTAGACACATCTGAAAATCCGTGTGTGGTTTTGTTCCCCTCAGTTCCAGTGGGATATGGAGAAGGTAGACTGGGTCTAGTGACAGGACGTCAAGTGGACAGGGGTCTAGAGCACAGCACTAGTGAGGAGATGCTGAGGGAGCAAGGCTTTAGTCGAGCAGAGAAGCTAAGAGGTGATCTAGTAACAGCTTCAATCTAGCTGAAGAGCAATTACAAAGATGACAGAGCCAATCTCTTCTCAGTAGTGCCAAATGATAGTTTTCTAAAAATTTTTAAAGTAGCCATTATCCTTTCCAAAGCATTTTTATGAAGAGTTATCTTTATTAATTCAATGTGAAAATCCAGATAAAACCATTTTAACCTTCTGCACTTTTCCTACTTGGACAACCAGCTTCCTCTAGCTTTACTGGGACATAACTCTACAGAAGGTGTTTCAACAATACTCTTAGGAAAGTAGGGCTGTTGGTGCAACAAGACTGTGAGATTTTAGACTTCAGAAATGTTTGTAAAAACAAGGAAGCAAAAATAAAAAATTATAACTGGTCAAAAAAACTTCCTAAAGGTTTCATAGCTTTTTTTTTTTTTTTTAACAAGTTGGGGTGATATTTTTTCCTAATAAAGTTTTTGAAAATTAATTCTAGAAATGGATCAAAATTTCACAAAGAGAATGTTTATTTCCCTTTTCTGGACTAAACCTTTTCATTTTGAGTCAGTGTGGCATTGACTTCTACTTGCTAGAACTGTTAGTAGGAAATATAGTTCAGGAAAGTCCTATGTCTGTTTATGATTTAAACTTCCTGGCAGATGGACTCATCATAAAAATCTCCTGATGTGTGACATCAGTTCACTGACCAATGCTGGTGTGATGTGAAGGATGCAGTTCAGCTCTAAGAGGAAGTCAAAGGCGCAGCCATTGAAAGAACATCTCTCATGAGGCAGCATGGCAGCTTTGGTGAACATACGTGACCATAACAGTGTCAGGAAAAGGTATGATTTAACTGAGCAAACAAAACACAAAATATTTCAGAATTAAATGAAATGTTTTAATGAACATTTTCTTGACACAGCACAAAAAATGCCCCAAAATAAAAACTTAAAGTAAGAAAGGATATGAAAATAAAAAAAAGGAAAAAAAAACCAAACCAACAAGACACTTTTGCTTGGGGCCTGCATTTCCACTGAAAGATGGAAAACCAATCCAGCTTTCTCACCAGCTGCAAGATGCCCTTCAGAGAAAGGGCCCATTTCGGTGGGGCCTGAGGGCACCAGTGGGCCTGACCGTGCCCTGGCAGCGACCCGAGGCTCCCGCAGCCTGCCCAGGGCCCGCTGCAGCCTGCCCCATCCCTGGGCCTGTTCCCTGGGCCGGCCCCTTGGTGCCATGGCGCGGCCTTGTCTTCCACCCTCTCCCTGGCCTCATCTCCTTCCACTCCTGAGCGGAGCCCTGGAGGTACCCAGGCTCTGGCTGACCCCCTCGCCCTGCCAGGGAGTGCCGATGGACCCCGACACCCCCGGCTGCGGGTGACAGCGCGCGTTGCCGAGGGCACAGCCGGTGCGGGGCCCACGGGCAGCACTTGTGCTCTCTGCCGTGTTGCGTGCAGCTGTGTAACGGCGGGATGGGCTCCAGCCTCGGCGTGAGGCACCACACCCTCACCTGCACGGTTACAAACCAGGGAAAATAACCCCAGTGCCTCCCGCCATGCCCCGCGGCGCGGCCCGTCCTCTGCCGAGTCCTCAGGCAGCAGCGCCCATCCAGCTCTTCGGGCTGGGACAGCGTGAAGTTTGTTCCCGTGTGCGTGTCATCGGCTGTGCCGTACTTCCTCCTGCAGGACCGGTTAAACATTAACACGGCGATACGCGCGTTTGGGCGGGGGGAAGGGGAGAGGCGATCCTTACCTCACCGTGGCGCGGGGACAATGTCAGGGCAGGCGTGTGCCCCGGGGCTGGGCGGCTGAGAGGCGGCAGAGGTCAGCGCTCGCTCCCCGCAGCGCCGCGGAGCCTCGGGCAGCCGCCCCGCCGCCTGAGGGAGGTTTCCCGGCGGCCAGGAGGCGAGGGCTGGCCTGGGGCTCCTCGCACTGAATGCTGCTGGCCTCCTGCTGCGTCCCCCGGGCGGAGGGTGCCAGCGGGGCTGGTCGGCAAAGGGGAAGCGGTCGGAGACACCCTCTCGGCGCCTGGGGCAGCAATCCAGGTAACCCCTCCCGAGCCATTATTTGCTTCCCCGCAGCGGGAGCTGGCGGCTGAAATCTAATTTAACCCTCTCCCCGGCTCCTGCCACAGCAGAGAAGCCAGTTCTGGGCTGGTGGCAGTGGGGTGAGCAGGAGCATTCTGTTACCCTGCCACATCATGCTCAGATAAGGGAGACAAGTGACTCAGATTTTTAAGGAGACCCCATCTCCTGCTGTGCTGCCTGGTCTTCGGGGCTGTTGTTCCCGACGTTGCGGGGTGCCCAAAGAATCCAAGCCCGGCTCTGTGCTGGGCGGGACCTGGCAGCTGGTCCTTTAGGGTGATATTATTGATGTTATCCCCTTACCTCTGGCGTGGATGCAGGAGGGAGTAGGCTCAGAGCCATGCACGGCAGCGCTGGTGGTGCAAGTCACCCCATGCATGCACCTGTGGAGAACGTATAGAGCAGCTCAGGCCAAACCACAGGTATTTAATTCATCATCGGCCAAACTATCCTGTTTCACCTGGGAATCGGGTAAGATTTCCTGGTCCTTTGAAAGTCCATTTTGAAATGTTTCAAAACAAGACGTTATAGATCCCTTCATTTCCCTTCTTGCTTTACTTCATCCGAAGTTATTTACTGATTTTGGCTGGAATTTGGGTATAATATTTTTGCAAGTTTATTCTTCTCCATAAAACTTTACCCAGCTCAGCTTGCATTTGTGCAGCCAGATTTGTAAGTGGAGGTATGAAGGCTGCTGCCTGGGCCGGTGGGGTCCTCATCAGACTTGTAGATCTTGCCTGGGATTGCAGCTTCCTGGAAAGGGACACAGCACTGTCTTTTGGATCTATTTCCTGGTTCTTTACTTGGGCTGTTTCACTTCATATGATGGATAATACTCTTAAAAAATACCAACTGGCTTGTGTACATGCTGAGAGTTATCACAGTGAGAGAGCAACAAGAAATCCCTCCTGGCCCATCTCTCCACTGGGTACTCCTCTGCATAGAAAACATGCAAGTGAGAAAAAACCCTTTCAAAATGCACTGGACAAACCCAAACTGGCCTACAAACTAGCCCCCTCCCAACATGCAGGCGAAGAAATCAGCCCACAGGTGTGGTGTAAAATGTTGATTAGTTGACAGGGCTGTCCGTTGAGTTCACAAGGTAAACTGAAAGCTTGTAAAGTGGGAAACCAAAGAGCAAGCTAGCAGCTGAGCCAGTCAGGTTCCAATTGCTGCAGTAAACTCAGTGGTACCTCCCCTGCTTGAAGCACCAAGCAGTGAATACAGCTCTGGTATAGTTTGATGCTGCAGCTGAACATGTTTGGAAAGGCAGCAAAAATGTTTTTTGTTGGTTGCAGTGGTGCAGCGGGCAGGGAAGTTCTGGACATTCCTCCTGCACAGTCAGCCTGTGAGAGGCACTGCCACCCACCCCTGTGTCATCCCATCACTGCTGCTTTTATAGAAACTCTGCTGGGAATTAATGCAGGGTCTTCATACAAAACTGTGAAATGAACTGCTTGTGTAAGGGCAGTGAAATAGCTGGCTTTTGTGTTTTGTGCCTTAGTGTGATTTTGGTTTTAACAAAAGAGTGGTTAAAAAAGTATGGTTGTTACAGGAAACTCAGGGTGTCTCTGTAATGATAACATTATTTATGCATTGCACAGAGCTGCCACAAAGAATACCCCTGAAATCAAAACCACTTTCCTGACAAGAAATTTGGGCTGGCCACAAAACCACATCCTCTGGCCCATGTCCCTTTCATGAAAACAAGATTCAGTTTCCCAGCTGAGTAGTTTGTAAACCAAGCAGTGCAGTCAAACTTTCTCCCACATATTTTGAGGGGGAGGAGAATAATATCACACAAGTGAATCACAAACACTGGAAAAGCAGAAAATGCTGTGATGGCTCCCACCCAAGCTCTGTATCTTATCTCTGACCACAGTGGAGAACTGGTGGTGTTTTATTTTTGGTTGTAAGGCACTCTCTTGTTCAGAGAAATAATTCTGGGGACCCTCTTTACACTAGCAGCCCTTCTGAGTGCTTAGTTGTGGGAGGTGGGAAGAAGTTCAGTGTTTCTCATCTTTACCCCAAGGCAGGTGGGATGGAGAGCCCAGGATGGCAGGAACTATTCTTCCTGACTGTGGTGGGCCCAGTGCAGCAAGGGCCTGACAGGACTGCCTTGGCAATATGGTACCAGGCTCTCCCTGGAAATGTATGAATAGGAATCTTAGTTTTGAAGTAAAACACACAGAAAAACCTCAAAAACCCCTTTTCGGGTATAGCAGTGCATCGAGATATATTCCCACATCCTCTCCCAAAGGCTGCCTGGTGCAGGAGGCATCAGTTTCCTGAGGTGGGGTAACAACCCCTCTGACCCCAGGGAAGCAGCTGGCCCCCTGCACCATTAACCTTCAGGACAGTAAGTAGTGGAGCACAGGGTTTATTATTCTGCCAGGATACTGACAGCACAATACACACCCAATTGTGGGTAGCTTAGAGAATTCTTTTTCTCAGCTGCTCATGATTGCAGATGGAGCTCCCCTAACACAGTCAATCCTGGAAGCAGTAGCCAGGAGAGACTAAGGGTGTGAGAGATGCAAGGCCCATAGGTGGAGGTTTTTCTGCTGAAGAAAGCTTCTTTACTACTTTTGAAACAGTTGTTTTGAGAAAAGATACTGCTCTCCTTCCAAACCTTCCCTCATTTGTTCTTCTCCTCTTGTTGGTAATACAGGTCACGTAAAGTCACATTTTATCACAGGACGCAAAGCAGCAGCTCATTACCAACTTTCTTGATAAGTTCTGTCCTTCAGCTTCTTCTGAAGTATGCAGTGACTGCTGGTGGCTTTCTGCCTTAAGGATCGGGAGAGAATGCTCCAATGGAGAGGTTCCGGAAATTCATTTTACTTTCTCTCATCTTAACTGCCTCACTACCAGGTAGGACACATTCATAACCTGTGAAATGAACCACTGTGGACAAAATGTGTGAACTAATTTTAAAGCTGTGTAAATGGTAGTTACCAGTAATGTGGGATGAGTTGGTCCCAGAAGATGATTATTTAAACTGTGTGAAATGGTTAAGTTTGCATTTCAAGCCTGAATGTTCTGATGGCTTAGAATGGGCTTCAGTATGCAGGAGTGAGCAGTGGATGGCATGGGGAGATGGGGAGGCTGCCCTTCTCTCTTTCAGTGAGCAGGGATGTCCCACTTATTTGTCCTCCTTGCATTCATCTTCCTCCTGTCTGGGACTGCTATTGAGGGGCCATCTGTAGAGAACTCAATATCCACATCTCATTTTGCTTCCAGAAATATGTGAAAATGATAATTTTGCTAGTTTGGCTCCAATTTACATTTCACATGTCTGAGATTCAAAGTGAAGTCAGATAAAAGGTATCTTGGTGGCAGAGCTTTAAAAAAAAAAAGTGAATATAAAGTGCCAAGTTGAATATCAGAGACAAGGCTGGGGTTTTTTGTTATTGCCTAGCTGGAGTTTTAACAGACTGAAAGGAGGGGGCTGCAGTGGGATGAGAGGGAAGGTATTGTCATGTCTTCATAATTGGTGGAAGGAAACACAGTGCAGGAATAAACATTGAGTTTGTTCTGAGCAGAGTGGTGTTCCCAGTGGAGTTGCACAGGGATGTGTGGTATTCAGCAAGCTCTTAAACAACCTAGTGGAGTGAACTGTGAGGTGGCAGACTTTGCAGGTGGTGCAGAATTACTTAGGGCAGCCAAATCCAAAAAGAGACTAGGAAGATTTGCCAGAAAGTGTCATGATGCCAAGTGAGTAAGTAATAAAGGAGCAGAAAACATTCAATGCAAAGCATCACTTAACTGAAAATGTCTAGTTGGAGGAAAAGAGTAGATATCTTGGAAAGAGAATGAATTGCTGAAGAAGAGAAAATTTCACTGCTTAGTGTCTTCAGTAAGGGAAATACAGTGAAACCTGGCATTATATAAATCCATAGGAAGTGTATATCTTGAATACTGGATGTTTTGTTAGCCTTTCCATTTCAAAAAGGGCATATTAGGTCTGAGAAAGGCATAAAGTGTGACAGAGATGATCAATGGTATGAGGAGGCCTTCATTAGACCGGGATATTTTTCTGTTTGTGAAAAAATGTTTGTGAAGAAATAGTAAAAATGTATTAAAATAATTATATGGAGGTGAATGATGAAATGGTTGTTCACAATTTCTCATAACAAAAAGAACTAGTGGCAACCAGTAAAACTACCAGAAAGAAGATTTAAGGCAAACCAAAGAATATACTTTTCCTCACAGTATGTAATTAAACAGCAAATCTCGTGGTCACTGGATATGGGGGAAACCAAATCATAAATAGGCTGAAAAAGGCTAGAAACAAATATCATGGAGGGTACATCCACAGGTGCAGATTCAATCACTTTCTCAGGAAGTCCCTAGATTTCTTATTTTTGGACACTAAGAAGTTATAACAAGCCTCAATTTTTATTTGTTCTGTTTCTCGCATCTAGAGCAGAGTACTATGTGTTTTAGAGGATTTCTATAACCCTGCTCTAACGCTTTTAGTCAAGCACGCCTGCAATGGGTGTTTTATTGCCCCACCTGCAAGCCATGCTGGGGCAGCAGGCATTGCCCACGCTGTGCAGTGTAGCCACGGGAGCGCACCCCAAAGCAGAGAGAAAAAGTGTATTGCAGAGAGACGAGTGTCGCTCTTGAAGGAAGTACTGCTGCTCTCGGGATGTCGGGAGTCACAAGGCTGGGCAGCGTGTCTAGGCTGCGGAGGTGGTTGCATGGCACAGCTGGTCTGAGCATCCCCCTGGGCAGGCACGGCGTGTCCTGTGGCAGCGATAGCGCTGCAGACCACAAGGCCAACATACAGAGCAGGGTCTCAGCCTGCTGCCAGGATTTTGGTGGTGCTGCTGCTGTAGTGCTCCCTGAATGGGGCCCCTCACCACTGGAGACAGGAGACAGTGCAGGAGGAGAAGAGTAGTCCAGCAGCAGAGCCAGGAGAGGCTGGAAGGGACAGCTGTCAAACAGCGAGTAACAGAAGAGATGGGAAGACATACTTGAGGGCTGTGGAGAGGTTTGTGTGCAGGTGGGTGGAAATGTGTTGCTGAGTACCAGTAGACTGGTGTTACTTGACAGAAACATCCTATAAGCATTTTAAAAGTCTTGTTTACATAAGCAAATAAGCTAGTCCTTTTCTGCAGGCTTTGACAAGCTCCAACGTGTTTTGGTTTTCAAAAAGCTCAGCTGCAGGGCTGTTGGTTTTTGAAATAAACTTGAGATGTGCTGAAGAAAAATCTTACCAATTCCAAAACAGTATATTGCAGAGCTGCTGCTGGAGCAGTGGGCCAATAATGAGGCAGGGAGGGCAGAAGACAAGGTGAGCTGAGCAAGAGACAAAAGACAGAGTGAAAAGAAAAAGGAATTTAAAACAGACTGGAAGGAAAATAATATAGAAATTCAAACAGAAATAGCAGAGAAGGAAGAGAGGAAGATAAAAACTAGACGCAAAACCAGAAGGATAAAAGGCCGTATTGATGGAAGGGAGATACAGATATAGAGGGGGAGATTATTTTGAAAATGATAATGAGGCTGAAAAAAAAGGAATCATTATGGCAAAAGGATAAACCCATCCTGTCTTTCACTGTGCTGCATCCAAACAGGTCACTTATAAAAGGGGACAGAGTCAGCAGAGGAGAGGAGGGAAGGAAGAGAAGGTAGCCTTGTCTCAATGACCTTGTTGCTGAAACCTTCAGCATGAAAAAGTGGTCCTCTAGACTTAGTTCAAGTGTGGAAGAAAAAACGTTGGTGATGAAGGCCAAGGGCAGTTCTTTGGCAAATGAGGTTCTCTCAGTGCAGGTGTCATCCGGGGAACAAGATGTATTTTTGTTCAAAACCCGCAGTGATGTGAGTGAATTTGTGTGATGGAGGTGGAAATAAATAGCTCATGAAGCGGTTGGTGTGTACTCTGCATGCTGTTGGGAAGGACTGAACAACTGAAATACCATAAATACTTACCAGTTTAAGCAAACTTTCACCACTGGTGACTGCTTTATAAACATTTAGTGATGTGCCTCAAAGGTGTCCTAACTCAGCTCTGTTCTCAAAAAGTCAAGGGGTAATGCAGTATCATGAAAACAGCCTAACATTTCCATATTGCAAAGGTGGTATTTGCCTGGGCGGGAATTCTTATTGGTTGTGTGTGGGGAAGCAGATGTTAAACCAGCTGTTAAAAGCTGAACATGTAATTCCTGTAAATTGCAGTGACAATATAGCCTGAGGCCTTAATTTGTCTAAAAGCGACCATCTGCAAGATATCTTTTAAGCAGTATGTAAATGAAACTAGCACTCAAATTTTCTCCTTAGTGCAAGAAGCAGGGTCCAGCAACAGGAGTAATAGCACTGGCTTAAGGTACTGGTAACTGGGTTTAGAACCCATTTCTGTCATGAATGTCCTCTTTGACCTTACACAAGTTACTTTATCAGTGTTTGTACATGGGCTGGACAATGGAATGCACTGTTGGTTCAGGACTCCACGTGCTATTGCAGGATAAAAAATAAAAGCAAGAAGATAAAGGGCAAAGTTAAAACTACCAAAAATGTTTTGGCAGCATGTGGAAAAGGCTCATGAAGTTCCTTTTCTGGTTGTGCTTTACTCAGATCTAAATGGAGGCAAGGCTGAGCTACATCCCACTCCTCAGTCCTGCTGCTACTCATAGGATCCCCATACAGGGCTTATGGACCTGCTCCCTCGCTCAATAGAAATTGAAGACCATCTATTGCTCCAGTAGATATGGTTGGTGGAAGAAGATGTAGAACCTACCATGCCTACGGACTGATAAAAAAAATATTATATTAGATAAATGAAGGAGTAACTTATACCTACCTGATTATACCGTCTTGACTGTCTGAAGAAAACAAAACCAATTATTAGCCATGTATTTTTAGAGATGATGATCAGTGATTATTCATGTTTAGGGTTAAATTTCAAGACTATAATGGAACTCACAGACATGATCTCATAGCAAATGATTAATTAACAGCTAGCAGTGTACTGAAAGTCACATCATTTATTCAGAGCCATGGTGGCAAACCATGGCTTCTTAAAAAAGTAAAGTGTTTGAACAGGCATGGAAATAAATTACAAATGTACAGAGATCAGTTTGCATTAAGAGGAGCAGTGTGGATAAGTACCACAGCTCCTGTTTCTTGAGAAGCTAAATGCATTTTGGTGTTAATTCAAAGGAAGTTTATTTATGGCTTTGGCTATCATCATGGTAGCTGGTTATGTCCACTTCAACTTGTCAGGAAGACTTCAAAGTGTAAAAATAAAAAAAAAAATCCAGCACATGGAACATGTTACAGATGCTGTAGATGTACAGGGGGTAGTATTGTAAAGGCTGTCTACAATATGAGTCAAGAAAAAATTAGGTAATTCAAAGACACATCTGAGGTTAGGACAGTGTCTCAACCCTGGTAATATAAGTTATGAATAGAACTCATGACAACTGGATGTTGAATATCAGGGAAGAGGGACATATTATGTGACAAATGGTCTCACTAGAATACATATCAGTGCACGTCCATTTGAAAATCTGTAGCTGTAGTGTAAATGAGGCCATCCACATACATGTGGCCAATCCCTAACATTCAGAAAGTGACAGAAAAGAGAGGACATGACTTTTAGGCATTTTGTTGGGTTAACTGTTTGTAAAGCAATGTATTAAGGTATGCCCATAGATTTGATTGCTGAGTTTGTCTTCAAGCTGTTCCATGTTTTAAACCATTTAAATTCACCTTTACTAGTCTGAAGAGAGCTTTGAATAAATGCTAGTGGAAAAAATGAACCATTTAAGTTGAACAGAAATATGTTTTATTGTATCTTATCTGGCTTTATTAACTATCAGTGGAAGTAAAGTTTGCTTTTCGTTTAATGTTTTCTTGCTCACACACAGGTATACTTTGGAGAATGAGGTGCATGGCAGAGGTAACATAACCCAGGAGGGTGGAAAATTTTTGTAAAGGTTTTTGTAAACATGAGAGAACTCGGAGTCAATTATACAAAGAACCAGGGAGAGTTAGGTTTGTATAATCCTGCAAAAGAAAGAATGAAAAGGCTCTTGTCTGTAAATACATGCGGCGGGTGGGAGGAAAGAGAGGAGCTATTTATACTAAAGAACAATTCTTGGCACAAACTTCGTTAGATATACACTGCCTAGGATTAAATGTGAGCTGTGAATTAGAAAATGATGTTAACGTTGAAGCAATGAGATTACAGACCCTATGTCCTGGGTGCATTCACCAAGGCTCTGGTTGCAACATTGTAACTGAGGTTGGGCTCTGGTTCCATTTATAAAGCTGTCAAACATCTCTTCTGTGGGAAACAATACAGCATATTCTCCCCTACTCGCATTAGCTATTGCCTGAATGAAAAATGAGTATGTCAATAATTTATAATTAATAAACTACCTAAAATGTACAAAACCTGGGTTGAATGAAACCTTTAAAAATCACATGATTGTCCTGAATACTCTTAGCAAGGGAGAAATGGCCATTTCAGACTTTCTTTCTCCTAGAAAATAATTGAACACTTATTCTCAGGCCAAAATTGCAGACATGGAGTTTTAATTAGACTGCTATGGACTGTAGTATCTAATTGCTGTAATTATGCAGGCTACAGCCTGAATTGTTAGGGGGGTGTAGCACTGGCGGTCCTGGAGCTTCCTCAGCATGAATGATTCCCAGTAAGTGACAAAAAACTCACTGGTGAGGTAGATCTCACTGGTAGGACTTCTTTGTCTGCAGGGACCTTGTGAAATCTCCATCCTTGGAGATACTCAGATTTTGATTTGACAAGGACCTGTGCAAATGGCCTAACTAACTGTAAAGTTAGCTCTGCTTGGAACAGAGGGTTGGGCTAGAGGTTTCCTGAACTCCCTTGCCGCTGAAACTTTTCAATGCCCCCTTCAAACAGCAACTCTTAGTGTGGTGCAGGTGAGCACTAGGCCAAAAGGGAGCAGACTGGAGGTTAGAGGTGGGTGAAGAGATGATAGCAGCTGTGGGGGATGAGGAAGAGCTGTGCCTGGTGGGATGCATGCAGAGCACAGGCAGTCCCCTGAGATGAACCTCGGTGACAGCAGGGCCTGAAATGGTAGTCCTCTCCCTCTGCTTCCACACCACCTGCAGCCAGCAAGGCTGCAGGTGGCAGTGACTTAGTAAAGTGACTGGCTTATGAGGGCATACCTTTTTGGGGTCCCCAATATGGAGGGACATTGGTAAGCTGCTCTCTCAAGGCTTGTTCCCTAAGACACCAACCAAATAATCTAGGATGTTCTTACAGTGTGAAGGTTTGTCCCTCATTAAGAGTAGGGTATATGATGGTCTCTCTCTGACCAACGCTTTAAGATTTGCATACCTTCAAAATGGCACCATTTCCACTGGCCATTTCAGGGACTGAAATCACATCTGCTGCTTTGATAACGAAGGTCTCTGCCTTTGTGCTCCCTTCCCTTTTTGCTTGGTAGAAGTGAGTGCTTCTGCCCATGTGCAGGAGATCCACCATCTGCTCTGAGGGCAACGAGAAGCCTCAGGTCTGTTGAGGAGGAAAGCAAAGCAAATTGCGTTCATTAGAAAGGAGCTTTCAGTTCTGAAAAATAGTAGACAAAATTCATACTATCTTTTAAGGAAGAAAACCTCATGAATTACAGCAGCTCTGGTTAACAGAAAGCCTGAGAAGGTGGGTAAGTATGTATGTGCATGCATGAGAATTAAGGGAAGAGACAGATGAATAGGGGAAGGAGCACAGAAGGATATATGCTGGGCCTGCAAAAAATCAGTGGCAACCCAAGGTATGGAAAAGGGACCAATTACATACTCATTTATTACTTTAAAGTCTAGAGAACTCATGTATTTTCCTATTTAAAAGTGAAACTGTTTTCTTTCAGCAAAATGATAAGTCAGCTTTTTAGTTAATCACTGAAGAGAGACAGGTGATTTTGGAGTGGGAGGGGGAGAGACAAAAATCAAAGGTATCTTTAAAGAAAAGCATTTAAACTGGAGCTGAAAGATTAGATTGTACATCTCCCATCTTTGAACTGGTTAAGATCTTTTAAACTATATAAACTTTTACTTATTGGGTTTGTAATGATTGGCTTGAGGATCCATTATAACGATGTAGCATTTGACCACTGCTTACTGCTGTAGGATTAACATTATTCAATTGCAATTTCAATTCACCATGCATATCTTTAACTACTTGCTGACAGGCATTATAGAAAATGAGACAAGAATCTTTCCCTTAAAGTGTCAGGTACTGATGACTGTCAGAGATGAAGTGCCAGCTCAGCTGAATCAACAGCCTTTCCTAATACATGACTAAGTGCTGAATACCCCAGTGCTCCTTAGTGAATAATACTATCTGAATCAGGGCACCTGGCTTTTTAGCCTTAAATTGCTGGCAGTGAAAATTAAGTCAAAGGCCTTTCATGGTGGTGTTGTACATATATTTACAGACTGTGTTTTTTTCCTTCCTTCCAGGTCTTGGCTTTTGTTACTCTATTATAAATGGCCCTACTAATGCAACAGTCCTTGCTGGTTCAGAAGTCCGGTTTAATTGTACTGTGTCGGTAGGATGGGTAATTCTCATTTGGCTGTCCAATGGAAATCCTGTCCTCACTGTCATCAATTCTCAAGGAGCTGTTGAAACATCAGACCGCTTCACCTCTCAAAATTATACCAGTAGCACCGGGTTTACCTCAGAGCTGATCATCCGCAACACGCAGCTGAGTGACTCTGGAAAAATTGAATGCAGCACCCAGCAACCTAGTGAGAACAGCTTTGCGTTTCTTTCTGTTCAAGGTGCGTATAGCCACCAATAGAAAGCTATTTTATTATACTGCACTTAAAGGAATCCTCTGATGAATTGCTCAAATTATCCCTGTGAAGGAGTACATGCCCTCATTTACCATTCTTTGCCTCCTGTCCTCCTTGTCTTAATTTGACTGTTAAAGCAGCTTTCAAAGTCACATTCAGAGTACCATTAACAAAGGTTGTAGCTGCCCTTGTTTTTTTCCTATTACATCTCTTATTCTTTACTGGATTTTATTAAAGTGCCTAAGGGCTATATCAGATTCACCAGCAGTCAGTCAAAAATAATCTTTTTGTTTAGAAACAGTATAGATTACCCCTATGCACGTCTTTGTACTTGAAACTTCTGCTGTCTTTAGAGTGGATCTCCCTCCTGCTTTCTGACTCAGGAATCAGTCTGTATCAGGCTTATTTGAGTTTGATTTAATGGCATGTAGAAGTAAAGCCCTTGAGACACAAGGTGATAATCTTCATGTGATTGCTGCTGCAAGCTACCATTTCCAAGGAACAAAAAGTTCCTATGTGTCAAACGCCTGTGTGTGAGACCTCTTCCTCCTCGCTGAATCATCAGTAGTGACAGTGGGCAGCCAATAAAGCAAAATCTAGCCACCAGACACTATCCATTCGTCAAAGAGGTGCTTCATGCCATGAGAATATCTCATCATCTACCCATAAACCTTTCCTGATAAAACCCGAACATACTTAAAACTTTGAAAGAAACACTGTTATTTCATTATGTTGTCCTTCAGCTGGAAATTTATCAGGATAGCTAAAAAGTATAATTTCGTGCTTTTTATTGGAAAGTTACTGAAAGATGAGACGTGCTTTAGACTTACTGGACAACGTGTTTATGAAGTTGCAATATCTGCATGTTTATATCATGCATGTGGTGTATCTGTGTTAATAATGATTGTTTTTTACTTCGTATCTCAAGGCATAGCTATTTCTGGGTAGCAAGATAAGATTTAAAACGATCAGCAGGAAAGCAATGCAGCCAAATATTCTGAAGGAACAAAACATCTTTTCCCTCCTACAGTTAATGGATCTTTATTCATCAAAAATAGCACCTTAACAGTAAAAGAGAACAAAACAGTTGAAATTGTTTGTGAAGCCTTAGGATGGGCTCCATCTCCAGACATTACGTGGATGACAAATGACTCTGTCATTGATAAGTCGAGGTATGTTACCCAGCAAAGTCAAGGATCTAATGGCCTACACAATGCCCTGAGCATCCTAACTTTGACTCCGATGGACACTGAGATTTTGACTTGTTTAGCTGACATAGAAGCACTCCCTAACCCTCAGAATGCAACTGTAACTGTTATTTTTGTCAACTCTACTATAGGTAAGTGAATGCTTGTTGTACTTTGCCTATACTGTAGTGCTTGTACTGTACTGCCTATACTCAGAAGTATGCTTTTTGTTTTGTTTTGAGAAGTCTCTTATTTGGAAATGAAATACTATGAGATGTGCAAAGGTGGTAGAAATAAGACCCAGTAGTCACAATCTGATACATAGGTAGGGTTAAATTCACATCTGTGAGAGGACTGGTACAAGTCTAATGAACCACAAAGTCCAATTTAGGACTGTGCAAGACAAATGAAGCAGTACATCTGCCACTAACTCCTACTGTGAATTCACTGCGAAGAAAACTGGCCTTTACTCCTTCACCAAGTAAACATCTACTGAATTTAGGTCTTAAATATCCTTGATTAGGCCATGCCTGCCATATTAACATAATTTGTTAGACTTCATTTACTCAAAGACAAACCCTCAGGTGAAATTGTTCTCCATAATATTCAGCACCAGTTTTACCACTGACTTGGAAAAAATCTCTAGATCTTACTCCCAGTTTCTGCACACAACCCAGAATAGATTCTGTACTAGCAATTCAGGTGCAAGTAGAAGGCTCTCCATGTGAACAGTGACCAGATCATATGGAGCTGTTGTAGTATGGTGGTAATGTCCCCAGGGCTGCAGTGAGGCTGGCACCCAATTGCAGATGGTAGCATTTATACGTAGGAACTTCTATACCATATACCTATCACCAATCTGCTATAAGAAACTCTGTGTACATGGTATGTTTACCCATTACAGAACAAGAATTGGGTCATCAAGAGAAGCTGCATATTCCTGGGCTTTACCTCAAAGTATTCTTAGATCAAAATGCCATTTGGCCTGCTTTCTCTTCTTGGCATGGTCTCTTTCACATCCTAGAAGAAGGTTAGAAATGTCCTGCAGCAACAGATGTGGAATTCTTTGGATGGTGAATTTGGTTGCTTTGTATTGCCTTTTATTTAAGGAAATTCCAGGTGGCTTTAATCCAAGCATGGATGTTGGGCAAATCTCTCAAGAACAGTTAGCAAGACCTTTGATAACCCTGAGTATTTTTGCTAAGGTTGTCAGCATTTTCTGTAATGCTGCTGATCTTTGGCCTCATGGACATTCCGTGGAAATAAAATTTCATAATTTAATACATTCACAGTACTAGAAGGTTCATCCTATGAAAAAGGAGATTTTTATCTGGTCTGTGCTGCCAGTGTGGAACAGAGCAAGTGGGACTATCACTACAGGTTTGCCTCACACTCTAACAAAATCCCATGAATTATTTTTTTTTTTCCAAACCATAACACAATAAGAGAAAGTGAGAGGAAGCATCTCCCTTTGGGTTAGCAGTGTTTAATGCAGAGGAAGGAGACAATACCAAACTGTCCTTAGGAGCATTTCTTTGTTGGGACTAGTCAAGCGTCTCAAGGTTACTGAGTATAGGTACGCTGTCTCCTATGGTGACACAGTCCACCCTACAGTGACATCTCTTTTATTAGCCTTATCCTGTGGTACAGGAAATGCATAGATTATATTGAGTTTTTTGTAGTGGATCTATGCATCCCCAGATGTCTTCTGTACAGATTAGGGCCTCGAATCTATGTTTCTTTCTACAATGTAGTGAACACTGTGAACTTCTATAATCACGTTGACAGCTTCTCTTGATGAACTGATTCTTCTTCTGTAATGGGTGAACATGGCACGTACAAAGACATTCTTACAGTGGATTGATGAGGGGTTTGGTATAGAAGTTTGACATAAACAACTGAGGAGGTTGAGTAACACTGCCTTTTATTTTAAGTATGAGTCATTAACAAGCCTTTTTCAGAAGTACTTGCTTTGTAATGCAGTTGAAAAAGGTCATTTCACCATTCTTAACTGACTTTTTTGTAGTCACATTGATCCTAATTACTGACTAAGCAAAACAGAACTATCCCAAGGAAATTAATAAATTCTCCTGCCCACTTCATTTGCGGAGTACTGAGGTATCCACCCTCAGTTTCCATAGCTACTCATTGTAAATCAGAAGAGGAGAAAAACAGATGTCATGAAGCACAATTAGCGTATAATTAGTGATTGTATAGGACGATCATTCACTCTCTTCAGAAAAATCATTGTGCAGCAGCAGATACTTAAAATTTGTCAGGATATGAGAATATCAAGTCCTTAAATTATTAGAATGAAATAAAGACATGGCATTGTGACAGAGGAAGATATATAATGTATGTATCACACTTGAAACCTCAGAGCTTGTCTGACTTTTCATATATAGATTCAGCCTTAGCTCTCTGTTGTCAGGAAAGAATAGGACTAACTTCAAACATGTAAGGAGTCCTTCCCAAAACTACTACAGTATCAATTTCAGCCTTCACTTAAAAGGTTGAGGAATCAAATTCCTTCATGTTCCTCACAAGCGATACCCATCCATTCACAAGAACTGCAACCAGAAACCTGAGCCATCTTCAGCCACCTGCCTCCTGGTCAATGAATTGTCCTACCTTAATGCACCTCTAGATCAGTCTTAATCTCAGACCTTTCCATACAAGGTGATGCATTTTTATGTCAGTCACTCCTCCTCCAGAGTTACCTCATGCACAGTGGTGTTTGGCTGAGCCCCAAATTTGAAAACTCCCAGGGAGTTATCCCAGCAAATGCATTCACAGAGCTGTTATTGGGAAATGGGGTGTATCGTGGAGTCCCTTAGCTGGGCCCAAGCTCTCTTTAGCTTCAGTGTTGACTTCATGTGGCCTTTGACTTGCAGAAGATGAAGATAGGGAATCTGCCATGAACCTGATCTTCCTTTGCTTTGTAAGTCAGCCAGAGAGCTCCAAAGTATCCAAGAAGCAATGTGCAGCGTTTCCCGGTCTCTCATTGCTCCTTGGTCACAGCATGTGCTGGGGAAGATCCCCTTTTCTGCAGATACTTAACACAAGTAAAGTTTTTGGGCAGCTTTGGGAGGAGCCAGAGGTTGGGATAGCAGCAGAGATGGGCCCTGTAGAGTGAGGAAGTGGCTTTGTCCATGCTAAGCACTTCATGTAACTTGTTGTGGATTTACTAATGGGGGTAAAGGAGTTTAATTCTCTCATGCCTTTCTGCCCCTCTCTTGCACCTCTACTTGTATGTTGAGCTGGCTGCTCCTGTGTTTGTATCTGCTGGTCCCAGCTCCAGTTTCTTTTTGTAACATCCAAAACTGGGGAGAATGCTGAAGTGCTGGAAGTATTTGTGTTGTGTCCTGTCCTTCTCACTTCAGTTCTGTAGATACTCTTTTGGCAGGTAACCTAAACCTGACAGGGAGTGAAATACCTTGGTGTGGCAACCAGCCTGGAGGCATGGGCCAGTGCAGGTGTGTTTAGGTCCTCCCTTCACACTAAAGTTACGCTTTCCGCTGTAGCTAAATAGCTGTCTTTCATACTTGAGGCATCTTGAAATCCCTGTAGCATGCTTTATGGAACAAGATTTTGCAGTATTTCTAGATAAAAATATTATAAACAAGTTTATAATCAATTATAATAACAACTGTTTACATCCTACAGAATTAACTACTAGTTTGCAGGTCACTGTGTGCTTGTTTTCTCTAATAGTCAGAAGAAATTCAAAATATGCTGATTGAGCATTAGGATTAGAGAAGACGAACAAATTTCTTAATCATAATGACCTGATCTTTGGAGAGTGTAGACTCCAGAGGTTCAAGCTTTGTAGTAGGCTCTGGTCCTGTATCTTTGCAGTCTGAAACCTCAAAACCCCAAACATATGTCCAGGAAAATTTGTAAACAGAAATTTTACTTTATTCCCTGCCATAGGTAAACCAGCAGATACTCTAGTTCATACATCAGTGGAATAGCCCTGACATGTATCTACCAGTCACCTACATTGCTGTGGTACCTTTTCCAGAGGCTGTCAGCTAAATGTGGCCATGCAGGTGTTAAATGGAACCTCTAATGAGGAAATGGCAATCATAAACCTTGTGCAACAGAGTGGGTTTTGTCAAGTTTGGATGTGTCTCACACTTGTCATTTGGATCAGAAGCTCGTTTCTAAACAACTGTCAAAATTATTTTGGGGCTGCTTTTCAAAGGGTAGCCAGATTAGAGGTGCTTCTGAAATATTTGGTCAGAACCAAAGGGCGGGATGATGTGACAATCAGAACTGACATCTTCCTTGTGCATCCAGCTGCATGAGGAGTACAAGGTATTTTAAAAATTCTGTGTATGTGGGAGCTCTGTAGGAAGACTGTTTGGTCATAGCAACGGATTTCAGCAAGACACTGAATTATATTTAAATCACCTAATTTAACTCCGTAGATTACAGCAAAGAGAAAGTAATAAGTTAATGTTGTGAGAATGCTGGTAGAGAAGATGCATTAGTAGCTGCGTATTCCCAAATGGTGCTATGCTCTAGAAGTTTTGCTCGTTGCTGCTCTTTAAGTGGATAACAGATGCCCTGCCAAGTATGTCCCAAAATCAAACACCTGCTGAAATCAGTGGGAGAAAGTTTGGGATGGAATTAATCAGAAAATTGTATCTACAGGCTAGAGATCACCATCTGTACTGGTCACCTAAGACTATTGCTGTGGTCTGTGGGGAGAAATGGACAGTTCTTCAGAGCTGTTCATCTTATACAACACATAACACATTTGACCAAATGAACTGTAACCCAAAATACCTATTTTCTCTCCACTGACAAGAGCATCTAGACAAGATGCTTAATATCTGCAGTATAGACATCTAAATTGAGTCTTAACCCCTCTCCCCAACCCCACATGTCTTCAAAGGGTGCTGGGAGGCCCATTGCATCTACAAAGTAAAGTTTAGGTTGGAAGATTGAAACCCTGTGGTTTTCAGAAGAGAAGTAGCAGTGGGAAAAGTTATAATTGCAATAAAGAATTTGCATTTGGAAACATTTTAAATTCTCTGGTACCATCTGTAAATACATAGTCCATCATTTGGAAAACACAGACTCCTGTTTAAATAATCAACAAGCAGTTAATAACTTGTCACAGAAAATGTAAAACTTCTGAAAAGGATGTTTTGAGACTGATAATACAATGTTTCTCCATTTAATTTAACAGAAAATTATTACAGTGAAGACAGCAGAAGCACATGGGTTATTGTACTTGCAGTTGTGCTTTCACTTGTTGGCATTATTCTTTTGATCATTATTGTTGTGGTTGTTGTACGCTGCTGCTGCCTAAAGAAGAAAGGTAAGTGGACCTTCACAAATGGGCTATACATTTAAAAGTATCTTCAATTAGATATGGATCTTCCATTTGTTCAACAGTGGTGGTGTGCAAAGACCTGTAAGCAGAAGCGTGAGCAGACAGATCCTCCTCTTAAACATGACCTGGTTAAGATGCTCCTTACCTTCACCTTGCTGTTTCTCTTACAAATTGGTTCCAAAGTTATCAATGTCAGCCATTCACATTAACTGTAGGGGGTTGTGTTTTTCAGGAGTATGTTAACTTTCAACAATTTTTAGTTCCTATGCTGAGGTTTTTCGTTGCTGTGTGCCCAATTTCCAATTTCTGTGTAAGCTGTCCTACAGGGATGCTGCACAAGTTGTAAACAGAGGAGAGATGCCCCTGTGGTAGCTGGAACACAGTGCATGCTCTAAGAGGAGCTCTGTAGTAGGTCACATTTTAGTTTTCTCCATTTTAAACACTTTTTTTTCTTCTTCTTTCTCAGGATCTACGTATCAAAATGAAATAAGGTAAGCTGGATGAGGTTGGACAATGTTTCCTTTTAACTGAACTCTCCTGGGCTGCTGCAGGATGGTGAGGGGGATGTGCCCGTTTCCGTGCCCTGCTGCCCTGCACACCCACGACACTTGGGTGCTGCCCCACTGGATGACCTTGCCCATGTCTGTAGGCACGGCAGGGGAATGGGGAGCAGTATGCGGGGAATGGGACTGACCTCAGGGGCCAAAAGTGAGGGCCACAGCTTGCAGCAGGTTGTGAACGTGGTTCCCACACCAAACTGGGTGATAAGAATCGAAACCTGGCAAACGTGACCTCTCTGATTCAGCAAGCACTGAATTACAAGCTATAAAGACACTCCTAGTGAAACTGCTGGGCAAAGCAAATCCTTAAAAGTTGGCTATAGCCCCAGGTGCCCCTGGGAAGGTGGGGGGAGCGCTGCCTGCGCCGGGCCGGCTGCCTGCACCGTTCCGCCACAGGAGGTCACTGCGAGCCCGGCAGCGATGCCGGGGCTGCCGCGCCGGCGGGGCGGGGCGGGGGACGGGTACCCCCGGACCTGCCGGGGAGAAGCTGTACCGCCAGCTAATCGGGATGGATTGGCAGGCACGTTAGGCCACCTCCTCAGCTCCTTTAAGGTTCGTTAGCGTTAGACTGAGAAAAGGTAAATAAATAAATGAAGCTGCCCCGATGATGAGTGTCAGCACTTAATCGAGTGATTATCAGAGGCACTTTGAGTACAAAGCTGTTGGTAAATTATTGCATGGAGTTGGGCAAGCTTAGAAATCATGAGCTGACGGTTATCAGCATTAAGATGCTATTTATCGGCGCCAGTGTGGCTCTGACAGCATCGTCAGTGGGGTTATTTGGAGTTATTTTTTCTAAGCTTCTAGGGAGCATTGTAAATTCATCCTCTGCTTATGCTGTGGGGCTTTTAACTCCCCATCTCTTACAGAGTTTACAAAATGTTACACCAAGTATCCTCACACTTCAGTGATACCTAAATTCATGAACAGCCTCTTGGGAAATTTTGAGGAGACCTCTTTGTGACAGATTTCCATTTATAGAACACTTTATTGATACGAAACAAAATAAGGAAATTAGGTAAACACTATTTTCTCTTGAGGAAATTATGCCAATTATGCCATGCTATACCAGTAAACATCCATGTGATTTCTTAGTGATGATAAGTTGATCATTTTATCAAGTGCGCTATACAAATAGGGCAGGACTAAATCAGCAGCTAATGGGAAGCGAAAAAATAGGTACAACTTGCATGTCGGTTCTACTATGAATAAAGTCCTACAAAGCCTTCTTGCTTGGATTCTGACTTGGTTCTGCCAAAAGCCTTCTGCAAGAGTCAGCCCTGATAAGGCAAAATCAATTGAACATGTGGGGAAGTATCTGCTCAGCAGTGGGGACTGATATGGCTGGGTCTGTGTCCTTCCTAGGACCCTACCTTGCTGATGCAGGTCTGCACAAGTGCTTTCTTTCAGACAACACAAACAGGTCCAGAATAGGGCATAACATCACTTTCCCGCTATGTCTTTGAACCTGGTCTGAGCGAATAAATTCTCTCTTCATGACAGGATGTGTGGTTTTAGATCTTGGTACAGTAAAGTTCCTATTTTCCCATTAACTTCAAACATGAGTTGTACTTACTTCATAAACGTTGCTTACTCTTTGAAAGTTAAGCAAATGCTCAAGCAAATACTTAAGCACTGGGATGAGTCGAGGCCCTAATGGCTCAGCTTGGACTTAGAAACTCAGTTGTTGACAGTTCTGCAAAGTTTTAGCTTCTGTAAACAATGACACCGAAATCACAGGATTTATTTTCTTACAGATTTTGTAGGTGGCTTTTTTCTTGGGGGGGAACCTACCTGAAGTAAAAGGAATGACAGTTGTACAGATTATGGAAGCTGTGTTGTAGTAGTGAAGAAGTGGTGAGACCAAAGATAAATTGTTTTACTTTCCACGTTTACTTTTAACTTGGCTGGCTATCTTTCTGTACTTCCCACACATTTTTGTAACTGCTTTTGATTTGGCTACTACACTGAGTTTGTTGACATCCAAGGATCAGATAAAATAGACAGTACAGTAGCATGTAACATGTAGAGGTGGTATTCCTAAACAATTGCTCTTGTCTTCTAGCAATGATGACAGTGGTATCTAACATGTTTATCTCCTAAAAAAATCCATATAGTCATAGCTGGCTTGTCAGATTTATGTGTGTATCGGTATCACAGATTGGAATATCATAGGTTGGAAGAGACCCTTGGGATCATCGAGTCCAGCCATCAGCCCTACTCTACAAAGTTCTCCCCTACACAATATCCCCCAGCATCTCATCCAAATGATCCTTAAACACATCCAGGGATGGTGACTCCACCACCTTCCTGGGACAGCATATTCCACTGTCTGACCACTCTTTCTGTGAAAAATCTTTTCTTAATGTCCAGTCTGAACCTCCCCTGTTGCAATTGAAAGCCATTAATCCTCATCTGAAGCTCTACAGGTCTGTAAAGTAATTCCTACTAAACATAATGAAAGTAAATGTAGCAGTTTCCACAAATATTGTTAACTGAGAATATTTTCACCTCCCCCTACAAATCCCTGGGTTGTCATAGTCCTGCCATCAATTTGTGCTTGTCACACCATAAACGTAGGCAAAGATGGATCTGGGACTATCCCAGAGAACAGTCCATGGTAGAAATAGATGTATAGAACATCTCTTCCAGCAAAAGAGATTTGAGTAAAAAGGCACTTTTTTTCTCTCTGTGCAGCTATGCAGGTCGCCGTTCTGCAAATTCAGAGATGTGTAACTTTAACCAAGGAAGTTCTGTCAACTTCACTGTAGCTATGCTCACTTGTAAAGTAAATTTCAAAGTGAAAGATTAACTTTGGAGGGTACAGATTAATCACTTGGGAGCCAACTGTGGTGATGTGAGATAACATGCTTTGTTTTTGCAACTGGAGGGGCTCAAATCACAAGAATTGTGTGCCACAAAAATAGCTGGTGTGCCATTATTGGGCCGTTGATTATCCTATAATTCAGAATTAGAGGTCAAAATTAATTTACTACAGAAGTATGATCTGGAACAGAGTCTTCACTCTTTGAAGATTGCTCAGTGTTTTCCTGCATCCTGATAACGCAGCTGATGGAAACTTTCTAAACAGAATTTCACAGGTAATACTTACATGAGATAAGATTTGTACTAGCTAATTACTTAGAAGCCCCAGATATGTTTTTCACCTATTTTTTCGGAAGACATATATTTTTTTCTCTGTAGCCTACTACCCAAGAGTTCTCATGTCATAATGAAGTTCTAATGATAGGCCTTTGTGTTTCTAGAAAAGTTTCAACTGAGAAGAAAAAAGATGGCAAGTTGGAAAACAGGCAAAGACATGGTAGTGAAAACCAGGGATACATTCCAGAGGAACTGTGGAACACAGAACAAATCCCAAGTGAGTCTAAGTTGGTGAATCACATATTGTCAAACTGCTTCTCAATATAGGCATTTTGGATAACATGTCAAGCAGCTACATTACAAGATTTCACAATACTTCATGTAGGACTTGTGTTTGGCCTGAACCTCTTCAGAATATTTTTTATTTTCTAGAGTACAGTTCTTCAAAAGTATTGAGAAAACATCAAAGTTCTTTGCAGCTGAATTTAGTTTTAGTCCTGGGTTTGTTTTTTCAAATGCCTTTGTTCTTCCAAATATCATCTGGGGCCAGCAATGGGAGTATTGAATTCCCATACAATAGTCCATTTAGACAATATTTTGTAGTTGGTCTATAAAAACAACAAAAAAAATCACCACCACCACCACCAAAGAACAGGGGGGGGGGAAGAAAGAAAGAAAAAAAGGCAGTTAGTGAACTATGATTTTACTGATAAATGACTAAGGCATTATAAATTCTAGTCCTTAAGCACAAAGACTCTTCAGAAGCAAATGTAAATCTCTACCAAATCATTACCCACCATTTGCATTTATAACCACATTATTCTAAAAACATTTAATCAAACACTTAATGACATAAAATTATTGCGCAGAGTCTATAATCCAGGCATACATCCTTTTCTCTCTAACAAATAAATTGTGAAGAAATAAGTGCAGTGAAAAGATTTCAAGAGCACATGGTATTGTAAAATGTAGCTGTTATAAAAATAAAAGGAAAACTAAGTAAACCTGGACAAGTTGATTCTACTGGTTCCTAGATAGGCTCCTTTCATACTCATTGGCATGCTGGGTTGACCCTGGCTGGCCACCAAGTGCTCACCAAGTCACTCTATCACTCCCCCTTCTCAAAAGGGCAGGGGAAGAAAATAAGATAGAAAAGCTCATGAGTCAAGACAAGGAGGGGGAGATCACTCACCAATTACTGTCACAGGCAAAGCAGACTCCACTTGGGAAATATTAATGTAATTCATTGCCAATTAATAACAGAGTAGGATCGTGAGAAAGAAAAAGAAAACTAAAACCACCTCCCCCACCCTCACTTCTTCCCAGGCTCACCTTCCCTCCTAGCTCATCTATCTCCTCCAAGCAGTGCAGGGGGATGGGGAATGGGTGTTGTGGTCAGTCCAGAACGCATTATCTCTGCTGTTTTCTCCTCTTCACCCTCTTTCCCTGATCCAGCATGGGTTCTTTCCACATGATGCAGTCCTTCATGAACTTCTCCAACGTGGGTCCTTCCCACAGGCTGCAGTTCTTCAAGAACTGCTCCAGCTTGGGTCCTTTCCATGGTACAACCCTTCAGGAATGGAGTGCTCCAATGTGGGCCCCCCGTGGGCCCACAGTTCCTGCCAGAAAACCTGCTCCTGCATGGGCTCCTCTCCATAGGGCCACAGCTCCTGTCAGGAGCCTGCTTGAGTGTGAGCTCTCCACAGGCTGTAACTTCCCTCAGGGTGCATGCATCCACCTGCTGTGGCATGGGGTCCTCCATGGGCTGTAGGTAGGTATCTGCTCTGCTGTGGTCCTCCATGGGCTGCAGGGTGACAACCTGCATCACCAAGTCTTCTCCACAGGCTGTGGGGGAATCTCTTCTCTGGCACTTGGAGCTTGTCCTCACCTTGCTTCTACACTGACCATGGTGTCTGCAGGGCTCTTTCTCTCACAGTTTTTCACTCCTCTTTCCCAGTTCCTGTTGCAGTGTTTTTTACCCTTTCTCAAATACATTATCACAGAGGTGCCACCAGTGTTGCTGATGGGCTCACATTTGGTCAGCAGCAGGACTGTCTTGGAGCCGTCTGGAACTGGCTCTGTCAGACATGGGGGCAGCTCCTGGTGTCTTCTCACAGACAAGATCCCCTTCACTACAAAAACCTTGCCATGTTAGCCCAACAAGTTAGCTAGAGTTTGGCTCACAATACTAAAGCATATTTAGCTTTATTCCTGAATGGCTTGTGGTTCATGCCATGGTGGACACTGAATATCAGTAATCTTGTATATTCTTGTTGCAGGAATTGCCTCTCTTCCCCCTATGTCTTCAAAGTTCACTGTCTCTGCTGCAGATTTACATACCAGTTCTGTACCAAAGGTAACTGTAATGCTAATTTCTTTACCTCTTTTTTTTTTTTTTTTCACACAGTGTCTATTGTACTAGATCCAAAAGCAGATTTGGGGTGGAGGTGGGCATTTATAAGTAAATTACACCTGTAATTGTGTAAGTGGAATGTCCCTTTCAGCATTCCTGAATGTTTGATTTGTAAGGATAAGTGCCCTAGGTGTTAGCCTTGGATTTAGATTGGTTGGGCGGGGGGACGGACAGATGGATGACGACAGGGACATGTGAGGGAGAAATAACCACCACTCATATTTGGAAGAAATGTTTAATAAATCTTTTCACATCTGTTCCCCTCAGCACCCTGCTACATCTTTCTCCCCACCTCCCAGGCTAAAGTTAGAAGTCACAGACTTCCCCTGAGAGAATCATAGAATATCTCAATTTGGAAGGGCCCCGCAAGGATTACTGAGTCCAACTCCTATTTAAGGACTACTTAAACTAAACCATATCCTAAGAGCATCATTCAGATGCTCCTTGAGCTCTGACAGGCATTCAGTCAGTGTCTGCTCTTCCCTTTCTATTGCTTTTCATATCTTTCCTGCTCCAAATGTCAGCTAGGCCTTTCTGCTGGCCAGCATGATGGGTAGCTCTGTCTGGGACAGACTTGCCATAGGTAAATCCAATTGTCTTTTCGTCATTCCTGGGATCAAAAAGTTTCCTCCTCTCTCCACAAGCCCACTTATTACCATTAATTAATTCTTTTAGCTTTGCCAGCCAGAGTAACTCTGACTTGGCTTTTGAGGATTCACTTCTGTGTATATTCTACATTAAACCATATAATGTGGAGGTTTGTTTTGCTCTAAACATGTAATAATTCTGGAGAGCTGTTATGTAGGTGCCTTTGCCAAAGTGGAGGTCTGCAATGTTTTTATTACTCTCCCCAGTTGCCAGACTTGAGGAGATGTGAATATAAGATAAAGGCACTGTTGAAGGTGAGGTTTTAGGTTCCTTTGCAAACAAAATCCAGTGCAGATACAGTAAATAAATGTGCATTTTCTCTGAATCATTTCTTGATTGTATTTTCCAATTCAGTCAGGAACTTTATGCTGATCTTGGAGACATTTGGTACCTCAGCAGTAAATGATGCAAGGGAAAGCATGCAATTAACACCCAGTCCACCCTAGAGCTTTGCCCCCTTTCCAAGTGGCTAACACTTAAAGAAGTACAGCTTAGTGTTTATTCTGCTTGTTCTGTTCTCAGCTACTTCTATTCTGGAGGGTGGTACTGGACTCTCTCAGCTTCTGAGAGCAATGTGGATCTTAATTTATGCCATATATTTGTAAAATACATTTAGCGCCTCCATAACAGTTTTTGCCAATATGCTCTTTGGAAAGTGGCAGTGATGATCTTCTCAACACAGTGATAACTCACTTATTTTTGAAGAGTGTTTCAACATGTGCAATGCAGAAATCTGTCTTGGGATGACATTGCATATAAATCATAGCAGAGTGTGTCTAGTTCTTCTGGCACACAATGAAATTTAGAAGTACTCAATTGATGATTAAAGTGATCAAAATAATAACTAAAAATAATAGCAATGATACTTATATATATGTGGCTGGTAGTTATTATGTTTGACATTAATTACTTGTCAAACAAAATACTATTAAAACAAAACTGAAAAGCATGTTTAAAACAGCTGAGGGTTCAGGGTGGATCTGTAACCCTGAGCAACAGTTTTAGACAGTGTTTGATTCACTTATGAACAGGATTATAAGGCACTGGCTATCTTTACATGGACAAGGCATGTGATACATTATGGTCTTCTCTGAGAAGCAAAAGACCTTTTGTTGAGGATCCCATATCCACCCTAAACACATTTCAGGGGAGGTGATAACTTCAGTTAGCTGTAGCCATTTCCCAATGACTGGGTGCTCCTTGATGGTTGATGTGCACTGATTGTGCACTGGGGAGGCATTAAGCCATTTGGTGTCATCAGAAAGGTATCCAGTTTGAGTGCTCTCAGACAGCTTCACAGAACAACAGTGTTGTGAGTGGGGACCATCAGGAGTCTGGGTTCACAAGCATTGGGTTCATGCTCCTGATTCAAGCCAGAACATGAGTGTAGGGGTGCAGCCCTCCATGTGAAATGCTAGATTAGATGGCCTAGGAGGTCCCTTGCAGCCCAGTGGCTAGGGAAACATTAAAAATCCATCACAGGCACGCAGCAGAAATATGAACCATTTCTGTTAAACCATTTGTCCCTGAACAATATTTGATACAGGTCTGTTACGGTGGCTTCTAGCTGCATCAGTAACTGCACATACGTTTTTTGAAAAATATGAAGAGATAATCTAGAGGTGAAAATTATTTATAACTGTTTTCCATATGTTGGAGGAATATTCAGCAATCTAAAAATGGCTTGTGAAGATAAACTCTCAGTTTGAACAGAGCTTCTTAGTATATTGTGATGGCCCCATCTTGTATATGCAGCAGTTGATGAAGGTTTATCTTAAATTGTGGATTTGCAGTCTGTGATTTAAATTTATGGCATTATATACAAACATAGTAAAACATTTCCCAGACAAAAAAAGTGGTTTTATTTTACATTCATAACCTTCCCTGTTAACTGCATAATAGAAGTTTTCTGACAAAAAGTGTTACTGGATGCATTCTAGTAAAGTTCAATCACCACTGTTGCCAACATATTCCATAATAAATATTGCAGTGCTTTTTCGTTATAATATATTTCTTGTCAAGTAGGAGAAATCAGATGGCAAACCATTTAACTGTTTGCTGATTAGTGCTGAATCAAACAATTTCTTGCCACTGCATTTTCTAAGAACAGAAAGTTGTATTTCTCAGTTGTCTTTCCCTGCCTGGATACTGGAAACATTCCCAAAGGTTTTTCATCTTTATTCTTCTTGACTTTTTAATGAGAAATAGCGGGTAAAAAAACAGGAGTAAGAGAAGCTATCCAGAGAATTTTTTCCATAGTGAAGGAGGTCATAAAGGGGTGGACTAGAGCAAATTGTCTTTCTCTCCTTGGATAATCAAGAAAAATGAGCAAACGTTCTTGCAGTGCTTCTATGGAGGTCAATAAGAAGAGGCAAAGAACCCAAGTCCTCCCTGAGGAGCAGGGTGGGGAAAGAACAAGGAGCCCATGTACTGATGGAAAGAGTCACAGAGACTGAAGACCTAAAGCCTTGTCTCTCCACCTCTGCAAGGTGAACGAGGTTAAGATTTCTGTGGTTGGCTTCCTCGTCACCTTATGGGATCAGGATTAACCAGAGCAACAGGCCAGAAAATAGCTCCATATGGGCAAAGTTTGAACAGAGAGTTTTAAAATCAAAAGAAGCTCATGGATGTGGGGACAAGATGAAAAGCAGAGCAATCACAGTGAAGGAAGATTTTTCAAGTTAGCATTTTGACTGGACAGAGGCTGCTGCACAGCCCATTCCTCCTACTCCCAGGAGAAGACTGGATGGAAAGATTCAGCACAAGTCAGAGGCATTAGGCAGTCTCACTGTGTCTCTGAGAGTGTCAGCTTCAAACTTGATCCCTTGTGTTGCATATGTAAAAAGTTGCGATTTTAAATGATTTGAGAGATTAAGGGAGATTTTGTATCACAAGTTTTGTTTCCTCAGAAGTCCTTGCCCATGGACCCAACCAGGTACAAAGCCTGCAATATCTGCTAGGTCTCATTGTAAAAGGTGACAACAGAAAATCACTTAGGTCAGCTCTTGGCCATTCAAATTCTTTGACTCAGGAACTAATGCAAGACGTTCACAGAAGATAAATGTTGCCTGGCAATTGCACTAATCAATTCACAACATGAACAAAAGATCTGGCAAATCATCTTAGGGAAAAGTAATACCTCACCGAAGAAGAAGGGCAGAAAAAAAGAAGGTGTGTGAGACATTTAAAAAATTATGAAAATCGAAAATTATTGAGCTGAGGAAAAAATTACTAGCCGCTGAAAGAGGAGGCCAGGAGCATCAGTCAGGGGTGCTGGAAGGTCTTCATTCTGATTACATTAGCCAAGAAAAGGTCAAATGGAGAGCAGAGTTGCAGGCTTCTGTTTAATTGCATATTTTGTTACTGTCAGTGATGGGAGGAGAGTGATCCTTGCTCCTAGACTCAGGGCTGAGCTGCAGGCCAAACGGGTATTAGGGACGGAGGTCTCATCTGAGGTGCCATTTCTCATACCCTGACCCATTGCACAGAGCTCCTTCCAAAACCTATGTGCAATGAGGGTGATCCCTTACCCAGTCTCTAGCAGATTTTGGGGCAGTCTCACAGACAGTGTAGACTGAACAAGAACCATAGGGCCAGTTCTGCCAGGTCCCGAGTACCACCTCCAAGGAACCGCTGTTTTTCAAGTCCCACTGGTACAAAAGATGCTCTAAGGACTCAGCATCTTGTAGGACTGGACAGTCTCCTATAGAAGCCTCATAATTAGTCCATTTAATATGCCATAAATATCTCTGATAAATCAGATGTCATAAGAGGGAGTGCGTGCTCATTTATAGTGGGCCAGATTCGTCCCTGGTGTAATTCAGCTGACTTTATCACAGCTACAGGAGACTTGTACTTGCCACCACAGCACACTCCTCCTCTCCAATCCAGGGTGAGTCATGGCTCTGTTAATGGGGAAGGATGTATTTTTCTTCTTAACTACTCCAAATGACACTCTATAAACTGGAAATATAATTTAGTTGTGGTTGTGGTTTTATACTGGGAAGGAAATGAATGATGAATTGTAGATCCATTTATTCCACTGTATAGAACTGCTCTGGCTCTGAGGATTGTTTGAAAAGAGAAATTAAGCTATCAAAATCAAATTAAAAGGTCAATAAAATAGAAATATAAACCAATGACAGCAAATAATTTTACCCCTACCGATGAAATGTACTATAGAGTATGTCATGCTACATTATTCATTGGTCAGCATATCTTGATTAAGAGAGTAATAAATATTGATGATACAGATACAGAAAAGGCAGGTGTAGTTTATATTATAATTTTTCCAAGTGTCTGTGGAAGAAGGGGATGAGTGAAGTTATGTGGGTGGGATTAGCCCGTGAAGAAATGAGAAGGAATTTCCAGGCTGTCCCTGTCTGTTGATGGACAGGGAAATGTGCTTGAGTGTATGAAAAGTTGACAGCATGGAACTGGTTTGCTATTTGAAGCCATAATGTATCTGGATTATTTTGAGGGTATCCGGAACTTTTGGGTGGGTGTTTTCCTGTCAGTGAAGTGAATTTGGAATGAGAATTAAAAACTGAGGGCAGGGGGGGAAATAACCTTCAGAAACAGAAAGCTGTGCCTCCCTGATTTTTTGTTCTAACAGTTAGCCAAATATGCAGACACATGCAGACACATTTGGAAGTACTCCTACCACATTAATTTCAGCAATTTGTTCTAATGCAGTTAGACTTGGATTTTTTTTGGCTGGCTAATAGCAGGCAAAGCCTTCAGTTTATCACACATTTCCACAGTGTCAGTGTTTGAGGAGCTGCCATCTGTCAAATCAATTTAAAGATCAGGGCCCTGTTTCATAATGCCAGATGTGTGTTCATCATTCATATCACTGATGTTATATGGGTTGCAGAAATGACTACAACATGGTTGTAATAGCAGAAGTCCTTCTTTCATTGACTGAAGATCAGTATTCAAAGCATCACTGAAGGATTCAACCCTGAAATCAGCTGATACACATACTAATTTTACCTTCTGATTCATCCATGTATTGCTAGCTCTCTTTTTGTCTTGCTGAAGAGCTGGAAGAGCTGGAAAGATTTTGGCATCTGTTTCCCTAACCAAATCAACAAACTCTGCAAAGCTTTTCCCAGTATAATAGTCCTTTTACAGTAATCCCTATAAAAAGGCATCCAGGGCAGATGATAAGTCAACCAGCAGGCTTTGAAACATGTGACTGTCAACTATCCATGGTTAACCAGATGTCAAGCTGACAGTACAAAGAGATTTAAAACTATGTGAAAGAAATGCTGATGATACTGCATCCTTACTGATAGAAGGGACCACCTTGGAAACTCTCTCCTGTAATGTTGGGCTGTGCAGCAAACCACTAGAGCTGTCTTTTTTCCTCTCAATGTGCAGGATGTAATGAATAATGAAATCATTTTTTCTTAGACTAGGACTGACAAGACTAGTAGAGCACTGAATTAAAAGAAACAACTTTGAAATCAAAACCAAGCAGAGGCTCTGGCAGCTGTAGCATATTGGGGTCTAAATACTAAATGGTTGTTGTGGTCCTGTTCCTCTGCATTTTGTATTTGTAATGCTTTGCATGAGATCTTCTAGAGCATCAGAAAACAAGTTTTAGTTCACTGACTAGCAGCCAGCAGCCTCCATCTCAGTGAAGTTCTATCCAGTGAACTGCAACCTCAGTGAGGCTATGCTACTTCAGAGAAAACTTGACAGAAAATGGGCCAGTGCACAGCATGAGTTGACTGAAATTCATGAAATTATTCATTGATTGATATCAGACCACAGCAAGAATAAAATATAAGTAACCCAGGACATTTGCTATAAAGCAAATAACTATGAAAGGTGCAGCAGGGCAGAGGTGAACCGTCATGGGCACAGTCCCCACCCCAGAGGCAATCTTGCTGCTCCATTCCTCCTTTGGTGGTGAGGAGAAATGGCATGACAAGGCAAGGGCTGAATGGCTCATTCTTGCAGATGAGATTTTGAAAGCAGAAGAGGCATGCTTAGGTTGCATTTTCCCCAGTGCTGTCAGGGAAGAATAGGACAGTCTAGATCCAGCTGGTGCAAGTCCTCTGGCTCCCTCCTGTTCAAAATCACATGCAAACCAAAATCTTCTGTAGTATTACCTACTACTGGCCATAAACACTGCGTCTTTTGGCAACATTACTTGATAAACTTTCTGATTAATGTACTTTTTCCTTCAGTAAATCTGGGTGCAATACAGTATTTTTGTGCAACAAGTTCTGGGAAATATTCCCACCCCAGTATTTTGCTAAACATGGGATGCAAATAAGGACCTATTTCAGGAAGTTTCAGAGACAGTGTTCGATAAGATGCTCTTGGACCCCCTCTGAAACTTTTTGCTTACTCAGTATGCCAACTAGTTCAGTATACTTCATACTCAAAGGACAGTCCACAGCATCTGGGAATACTTGCTTTCCATAACGCTTGCCTTCAGCGTTTTTCAGTTGGGTTGTTTTTGTTTTTGGTTTTTTTTTTTTCCATTCTACTTGTAAATTTGTTATTTTTTGGGGGAGCAGTAATAGAGAGCTTATCAAAACCTCTGTCCTAGTGAGAAAGCCTCCCATAACAGACCTGTAATTGAACGATCAGGAAATGCCAAATAACTGTTCTGCCCTAAATGGACCAGATCTCATCATATATTAATCCCCAGGGTAACACAGACCAGAGGAAACTTCTGATATGCTCTGGAAATGAACGAGTGATGTCTCTGTTGAGCACCAGTAAGGTCTTTGGGCTGAACAGCAAGAAATTAAATGCCACAGAGAGACCTTGGAAAAGGTCTCTTGCACAGACAGACAATCCTGTTACTTCCCAGAGCACCTCTTCTCTCTGCAGAAATAAACAGTAAAGAAGGGTAAATTTAGAAAACAGCAGTATGTTCTAGCAACAAAAAGGGTTGGGAAGAGGGGGGAAGAGAGAGAGCTGTGTTTAAAACAGAAGGCAGCTGTCTTATGAAATGTTTCTAGGATAGTTATATTTATCCCATGGTTTTCTTTGAGGTGCTGGGACTCATTAAATACCAGAGACATGTTGTCCACATTTGTTATCTAACATTTTCCTCTATGGCTTATTCAATAATGTATATGTACCAAATGCATTATTTAAGATGTTTAATACTGGAAGAATACCAAGGCAATACAGACTGAACGTGATTAATGCTCCAGAAACAAACCACAAGAAGATCAGTCAATAGTTAGGAACCAGCTGGGAAGAAGTGAAATTTCCATTAATTTCCAAGGGTTTGAGGCCAGATGGGGAAGTTGCAAGGAACAGCAGCCAGCATCTACTTGGAGGTAGATAAAACTAACACTGGGGCTGGCTGCAGCAAACCATTCGGCTGTAGTGTTTCATTTAGGAAGACATGTGAAGATACATGTTCATAACTTTGGAAGAACTTTTCATTCCTTAGAGCTACTTTGTAATTATCTATGTGAGGTCTCACTACTACATTTAAACATACAAAGTGTATGTTTCTTGGGTGCATTTGACAATGAATTTTTCTTTTCCTCTGCAATGATATTTTGTAAAAGTGTATAAGTAATTAGGACTGGAAATTCACTGTACTGGTTTCAAATCAGGATAAAATTTTCAAAACTGTTGAGCATTTGCCCTGCACTGATCCCACTGGGGTCAGTTTGAAAACAGGACGCTGTCAGTGGAAGTGGAATCCTGCCAGTCATGGGAACTTTAAAAAAAACCTGTCTTGAATAAACACTGAAATGCTGAGAGCGGTCATGCAGATACATGAAATACTGGCATGCTTATTGCTGCAATTTCTAATGTATTTGGAAAACAATGTCAGATGTTAAGTTTTTCTCACAGCTTCACAGGTAGTTTCTTTAAGAGAACCAGAGGAGAAATGACCAACAACATGTTTTGCTTAAAAGAATACAGACTACAGAGTCCACAAGAAATTCTCAGATAGCATAAGACCAGTTAATAAATACCCAGAACTGCCATCAGTGTGTGACATGTTTTGTTCTGCTGTTCAACCTTTTCTTTGTATTTAGATTTTGCGTGAGTTGCTGATGATAGATTTCATTTTGGTATACTGCTTTGGGGTGAGGGTTGGGCAGGTAGCCCCCCTGAGGACTCTTGCGGACTGCTTTTCAAGGATTTCTTTTAGTTCTATAACTGCTTTTATTCTCCCATAGGTGCAACCTCAAAGACGTACTGATTATCCGATCAGCCCAAAGAAAATTAGAAACATGACACTTGTTTAGCATGTACTTCTCTATCAATCAGTCACATTTTACACATTTGGATGTCTTCCTGCAACAGAGAAAGGTTAACACCAGTTCTCTCAGTTTAAGCTATAAGTTATTTTTCTTTTTTTCTCATGTAATGAAATAAAATTGCAACCTTTATAATGTAGCATATGATATCTCAGCAAAATTATAGATATAAATGACAGCCTTAACTTCAGAGACAATGAATTTGATGGGACTCTACAAGAACAAGAATCTGTGCTTTGAGTCCCAAGGAAATCAGCAAAACTCCTACCAGACAGGAATATTAAGTTATCCACAGCAAGATCAAGGATTGGAGCTGCAAGAGATTTATTAGTTCAGAACTGGTTAATAACAATACTGGTTAATACAATGTCTACTGCTTTTTAAATGTACTTTGTGGACAACTGATCATCTTGAGCTTATAGAATAACAACATTTTTCAATTTCTGTTCTGTAATAAAATCAAGGGAAGTTTTCATGAGGGCTGTTTCAAAATTTCTAGCAAAATTATCTGTGGATCAGAAATGAATTTGTTTCATTTCAATACATTCTTCTCTTAAAGTTATTTGTCTTAAATCCAATGTTCCAGTTTTAAATAAAAAACAATCACCCATGTGCCAAAAAAAATTCCTATTTTGATTGAAATGCAAAAATCTTAAGCTGAAAAGCATGGATTTGAAACTTCTGACTTTTGAGTTGTTGCCTGAATGCTTTATGTCTCTGTTCTACTTGTGGACCAAGTTTGACAGCCAAATGACTTGGGTCATAGCAAATGGTGGTTGCTGGTATTCATGCTGAACCCTGTTGTTTCATCAGGGATAGATTGATAATGACCATGGGAAATGCACTTTAGCTAGGCAGCCTTGTCAGTAGAGCAGATCTGGCAGATGGACCCTGTATGTGCCTTCCCAATCTAAAAAATATGATTTCTAGCTGAAATGTTTTGCCTGAAATGTTGTATTTCATAATAAAAAGTACAAGCTTATTAGTTTTTTACAAAAAGGCAAACTTCTTCTAAAAAAACATGTTATTTTCAGTGTGCTCGTCTTTCTACCCACTCGAAGCATTCTGAATTATTCAGTGTTTTGCATGTTAATCTTTTGTATGAACCAGTGCAGGTGCTCCTTCAGTGCTGAAAGAAGCCACTATATAGAAATACTTTCAGTGATAATCTGCACAACAAAAATAAGAAATCTGAAACCTGATCTCAGGAAAAAGAAGTTATTTTGCATGTTTAGCATTTGGCATCTCATTAAATTGTGACAGTTTTTGCACTGCTAGTCGCATTTTCAGTCGTCTGTCAGAAGAAGTGCTGAGACCAATTCACGGTCTGCCATGTGCAATTGTATACAAAGCTGTTTCAAATTCTGACCATCTATACTCTTTCCGTTTTCTTTGGTTAAGGAGGAGCTTTGAAATGCATTCCCACTGAATGCAGTTGTACCAACAACATGGTATGTAAATAGCTGTAGTGTTATACAGAGAAAATATAAGCAATTTACATTGCCGAATATCTATGTTTTTTCCTTGAAATAACCATGCACTGAGAGAAACATCTACCTTATTCTGATACAATTATTACTATTGCTGGCATCTCCTAATTAGTGCTGCAGTTTAATGCAGCCTAAACACAAACAAAAATCCACTTTATTAGGGGAAATATCCATTGCATGAGAGTCCCAGGGTAACACCAGCCTGTGACTCAGGGATAAAAACTATGGACCTTTGGCTTTCTGTGCATGTGCATGGTTAGCAAACCTTCTGGTTGTCAGAAAAGTAACCCTGCAATATAAAAATGAAAACTCCATGGAGGCAGCAGTTTCCCAGCTGAAAATGTTGATTCATCACAATGTATTTTGGAAAGGAATCAAACTATACTGTGTTGTTTATCTCAAAGCCATTGATTCCAAGCTTGGCTCCTATATTATTTGGTATCATATTAAAGCAGCCAATTTAGAACTGAAGAAAATATTTCTCCAATTAATCTGTATCCTTCCACATTAATAAAAAAAACCACCCCATTGTTATGTTGAGGCTGTGGGCAAGAAGACATATGCTCTGAGCCAAAAGGTGGACTCCTGTGTCAGCTATACGGTGCCTTCTGTGTTGGGGAGTCCCCACCAAGATTTCCATGCTGTGCTACTTGGTGCTTGAGGCTCTTCAGAGGACACCAGCAGTGCTTCCCACATTGGGTTTCAGGCTGTGGCTGGGCAAAAACACCACCCGGCACTGCTGTTGAATGAGTGAGCTGATGTGAGAGCCCTCATCTGGGAACAGTGTGAGAGACCCCTTCCCTGCTGACAGCTCCCAGCTGTGGTGGTTGGACATAGGGGCGTGCAGCCACGTTGCCCTCCAGCTGTGCATCTTGCCTGGGAGCTGGAAAGGGCTCCAGCATGCCACACTTACCTCAGAGATGCCTTGCCAGCAGATAGTTGCCAGCGGACAACACACAGCAGCAGTAGCAATTACACCCCACTGACTGCACATCCCACTGACTCAAAGAAGGGTTTCTCACACAAACAGGGACACAACCATGAAAACGTGCACATTAACCAGAGTCTGGAGCTACTTTCCTTACTGCCAGCTACAAGAATGCATCCCACACAGCTATGGTATACTCTTAACAGCATTAGCTTGAGGTTAAAAAATCTTATGGTGTCCTTGAAATTTATAGTTAGGGGCATTTGTATGCTTTCAGATTTGTTGTCTTCAGGCATGTTATACAGCCTGTATATCACCTTCAGTACTAGCTGTTACTTATGTTTGCAGATGGAGCTACACAAACAACAATACATAAAATACAGAGACAATTTTTAGCACACAGGGAATATAAAATATGCAGGCACTTTCAGAAGACAGAGTAGACTAAAAATATTGAATTTCAGGCACTTTATGGAGACACCAATCTTTTGTACACATGCATATTGATTTATAATTATGACTTGAGAGACATTTTAGTAATCCAGAAGTATCTAGTTTTTTACTACTCACAGACTGTGCACAGTTTGATAGTATAAAAACCTTCTACATTTCCTTACAAAATGTTCTGATTTGAATTCCATGCATGTATGTGTGGGGAAAAATGCTTTGGAGATAAACAGTATTTAATTCCACCGTAAGGTTTCCTAAGGTTGTCTCACCAGTTTTATGTTTCACAGAAGAATTCAAGCTACCTTTAATATAAAGCCACTTAAAAATAACACTGGTTTCATGTAGAGCTTTCTTTTTACAATAAAAAAGCACCTCAGGTTTGTGGGGGCTTAGCAGAATCAACAGATGAACTCTTTCTGAAGATTGCTCACAATATTGACTAAACATTTAGTTTCTTACTGATTTGATTTAATAGAACCTCTATTTTTAATATTTATTTGGTAGAATATGTAATATGTGGTGCTGCTAACCTAACATACAGCATTATCAAGTATTTGGGCCTCCCAGTGACAGAGATGGGAACTCTTCCATTACTGTCTTCATCTTCTCTTTCCTCAAAAGGATCCTGCACGAGGCAGGAAGAGCACAGCTTCTTACAAGCTTTCTCATCAGAAGCTCCTGGAAGACCAGAGGATGGTCCCCTCAAAGTGTTGCAGATAACTCACCACCTTTCCTCTTCACCCAAGTAGATCTTACCTGTCTAAAATGGGGCCTATCTCCAACTCTCCCTCCCCGAGTTTCTCTAAATCCCACACTCGCATTCCCAGAAATACAATAAAATTAATCCAGTGGCCTCATGGTAACTGTGTAATTAAAATGAAGCAATCAGTATGCATGAAAATGGTCTCACATGGTCAAGCTATAATAAAAAAACCACGATAGCTGCCAACAGGGGAACATTTCTTCCAAAACACCTTTGGTATCATAATACTCTTTTTCACAACAGCCTCCAAAAACTCCTTCTAAAGATGAGGTTGAGAATTGAAATTCATATAGCCGCTTGATATGGAGGAGCACGCTCTCAGTAGATGTGACTTTTATGATTAGACTCTCCTCCTACTCACCACGATCGACTCTTGTTCCCCAGGCTATAAACTACCTGTCTCTTCTTTCCCCTAGGTGACAAGCAGCTTCATTTAACTTTAACTTTCTGTCTCTCACTTTCCTCCCTCTTTACCATCATTTCTTCTCCACAGCTACCAAATATCTTTTATTTAAAAAAAGGCCTAATTGATACGTACCTAATTAACACCTGAGCATTTGTTCTCAGCTTGTATTTAGCTCTGAAAATTGCTGCTTCTATTTCAGACCTGAATAAGGGCTTGCATACCTAAAAGTTTTCCTAATATTTCCAGCAATACCAGCTGATCCAATAAAACATACTACTACCTCTACCTGCAATCTCTGTCCAGCCTATGCACACACACGGATGGTCATGTGTTTCCATCATCTTGCCCACTGGGGCTTCGAGAGGACACTGCAAATCTCAGCTGACCTTCCTGAACTGCTGTTGGGGAAAAACAGGAGAAGGAAAGAGAAGCCAAGTCAGGTCTACACTAACACGTCTGCACCAAGCCTGCTCAGCCAGTGGAAGAGTGAACTGTGCTGTTGTGAAGGTGGGATTTGGTAGGAGGGCTCTGCATTGCTGCAGTCTGTAGCTCGCATTGAGGTTCCTGCCCTTCTGCCCTGGAGAATTCAGTTTTCTCCTACTTGTCCTCACCCTGCTCTCCATTCTTTGGAAGGTGCAGATTGGTAACAACTCCTTTACATTACCCTAGAAATCATGAATTATTTGTGCTAGATTACCACAGATAGTTATTTAAATGAAAATGGATATTTGCTGGCTCAGAGGAATACAGCAATAGACTATTCCTTTTCAGCTAAGAGAATTAATGTCTGGGAGCTTGCAGTGTTATTCAGCATTAGCTCTCATAGCAGAACTCACGTCACACAGATGTTATTTATATTGTTTATTTTCTACTGTGCTATGATCACTCCCTCAAATGAGGCTTATGCTAAGTGCTTTTTTTAAAAAGACATGTTCCAGCAAAGCACTCTGTTTTGGGGAAAGAATGCCAAAATCCAGGGAAAAAATATTGAGATGTTTTTATTAGAGAAGCCAACCAGATCCATCTCAGCTTGGCCTCCAACTCATTATCTTCCCTTCACAAAAAGCCCAGGGGCTGCTCTGACCTTGGATTGACTCATCTGTACTATTGATCCCCTCAGTCCCAATGATAATGGGAAAGATACTGATGCTGTGGTTTTAGCTCTGCTCACTTGGACCATATGTTCATGCACCCTGGGTCTCTCTGCTGCAAACACCAGTGTTGCTACCACCCATTCTAGATTTACTGTGAAAGGACAAAGGGAGACTCATGGGTCAGACCTCTTGCGCCATGGCTGAAAGCCATTCAGAGATGGTGGCAAACTATTTTTCTTTCCCAGTGGAGTAAGGATTCACAAGATGCTATGAGATGGTGGGTCTGATGCTGGGACTGTTCCATACCATTCTTCAGACACACAGAGTTTCATTTAGATGTTACCCTAAATGTCCTTCCACAGGACAGGCAGTGAATCCTCCTTGATGAGGCAATACATTCACTTGGTTTTACTACAAAGCCATAGAATTTGTTAAAATGAACACTGTGCACTTTAGGTTTGTCTCAGCACTTCTCTGGCATGTTGCAGCACCTATGCAGAAGCCAGTAGTCTTCATGATGACTGCTGGTCCACACCAAAAGAGTGGTGGATCAGCAATTCCTGTTTGAAAATTAGACTTATGTACTCTGGATTGTGTTATTTTTTGGTAAAGAGCAGTTAGACACCCTCAAACCATGCAAACCAGAGACTGTTCTGTTAAAATACAAGCAATTTTAGCAGCCATTTTTGTGGAGATCTGCGTCTTGGAAGTCTGCAAGGCTGCTCGCTGATCCTCTAAAGACATCCTCATTAAGATCTACATTATGAGCCAAGCCCTTTGATGCTGCCTGTGAGGAGGCAGTACCTCAGCCTGAGCTCAGAACAGACTTGAAATTTGATCACTGTTTCATAATCTCCATTTGCAAAATGAACAACTCAAAGAGGACAAAGAGAGATGTAGTGTCTATGCTGAGCCATCAAAATTCACTGGGGAAGCATGTGAGCTGACAGAGGAGCAGCTACTTTCCCCTACTCCCTTTATCCATGGCCAGAACAGGGGACAAACACAGAAGGGTGACAAGGATGGGACTTCTGATCGCCAGGAGTCCTCACACCCGGTGACAGGGCAGTGTCCTGCTCCCCGAGTGGAACGGAGCAATATACTCTGAAGAATGGCTGTAACTGCAAAACAGGTTAAAATAAAATTAACTCTTTTTTCCCTATAAATTATATATGATGGTTACATCACAGATTCTGTCACACTGGGTCTATAGATGAATTGTGCAATGCTTTAAAGCATGAAGCAAGGCTTTAGTATGGCACCATGCTCCTGTAGCACAAGGTCATAGTGCTTTGGTGAAGTCACATCACCTGAGTATAATCTATGGAAAGATCAGCAATATGAACAAAAGACCTAGTTATCGATTACCTTCCACCTTAAGATCCTGAAAAGAATTGTGACATTCTATATTGTATT